TAACAACACCATACCCCCCAATTTCCCTAACCACCTGGCTCGCACCCCACCCCCAAACCCATACCACCCCAACCCCCCTTAATTAACAAAAAATATTTTTTTTATATTTATTTTTTTTTTTTTTTTTTTTTTTTTTTTTTTTTTTTTTTTTTTTACTAAAGTATGACCTGGTTAGAGGCTCCTTTCTTTTTTTAAAAAAAATAAAAAATAAAAAAGAAACCTCGGACTTGAATATTGAAAGCTAATTCTTCCATTTACACGGCCACTAATACCCGAGACCGCAAGGACATCAGAACAAGCCATTGCAGATGAAGTAGTTTTTGGTCAATTTATTTAATCCTGTCAGAAGATAGACTAAGACAGTGTTCTTGAATAACTACAAGTCTTCTATATCCACCCGCCTCCGCTCCGCGTGGCGAGTTATTGCGACCAAACTATACCTGTCTACTCGGCCGCGGATCGTAGACACCACTCCGTATAACGCACGGCAGGCTATCTGTCCTCGGAACACAAGTCGGCATTCGTGCTATGCCGACCCGGTTTCCGAAGGTAAGGCCACTCCTCGACGATCGTACGTTCTTTTTCGCATACGTCGCTGTCTTGCCAGTCCCCTGTGAAGTATTCGCATATGTTCCTAATGAGTTTAGGCGTCAGCGTTTCATAGCGTTCCGCAAAATGAGGGTTCGGGTGAGTGAACATTACATTCTATAGAACGGTTTGAGACCGCCTTGGTCTTGGACAAGTAATTCGCGCCTAAGCAGCATGACAGCGTCACACGCACGAGAAGCCAGAAGGGTTGCACGTCAGGATCCACTTCAAGATATTCTTCCACTTCCTCGAGCGTGACCCTGCAGTCGTTGGTATTCATTTTTCTACGCTCGTTAGGTGGTACCCTACATGGGCGCTATGATGGTAGACCAGCGATTCCAAGGTTTGAGTTGCGCAGCAGGCCACATCGGGATGCTTTTTGACACGATGTACGAATGGGTGGGTAGTTCGGCTAGTCAGTCCATTTGGCATGCGCCTAAATGTAATCTGAGGGAGACGAGAATAATACGTACAAGGATGCGGTCAAACCGCTCGCCTTTTCTGATGTGGGAGAGGCGGTCTAGGGTACTGTGCTCAAGGTCGAATTTTATATTGAGAGTGCGTATCTGGCCATGGAAATAAGCCATTGCAGGAAATAATAAAGCTTGCCGTATATATCGTGGTGTGTAGCTCCGCAAGGTATCTGCTTGTACATGGAGCGAGACCACCCACGCTCTGGTCCTTTTGAGTCGTCAAGGAGCCATTGTGCTACTCCTCTAGAACAGTCGAATAGAGTGCTAGGACGAGATGGCAGAAGGGTTGGCTGATGCGCTAGGAAATAGAGCTTTTAGGGGACTGACATGTTGGGTTTGGTGTAGCGACTAAGATTCCGACCGAAGGGCGCTAGTATCCCGTGTTCCATGAATTTGACGTGGACTGGGCGCTCGCTATACGGCTGTCTATATAGAAAACGCTCTCTGTAGTCTCGCCTAGTTTTAGAAGCGACTATAGCATCTCGAGCAGACTTAGCTTCGTCTGGCGGCAGGTCTCTCTGCAGGTAATTTGCTAGATAGGGCCGATCCGAGTAGTTTAAAGTGAGATTGATGGCCGCGGGGACACTGCTCCGTGGTTTAGACATTCTTACCGTACACATATCGACACTTTTCTTTACGAAAAGATTCCCTATATAATTTGCCTCGAGCCCGTACTCGCGTTGTAATGCTTTGGTATGTTTGGCGACGTATCGATATAGCGGACCGCCCATCCAGTCGGCTAACGTATCAGGTAAAAAAGGCTGAATACCACAGGTGCAAGGTGTTCTCGGCCGCCAGAACCGCGTCGTCGTTACAGAGGATATAAGCAAGCATTATGTAGGCGCGGAAAATCTTATCGATGTCTTTGTTATTCATCACGATTCTAATTCCCCCAGGGTAGTTGTTCGGGATGAGGGTGACGGTCATCATAACGTTTCTGAGATCTCCGCAACCTACATGAAGGATATCAACAATGCCAAACTATTTTGGACGACACATGAGCAGATGTACCGACGAATAGCAGATCCAGATCTCTCGAGTACCCGATTCCCTCATTTTCACCGAGCCGAATTCAAGTGTGGAGGATATTGGTCGAAGTATGTGGGCTGTCTTCCCTCTTGGAACCATTGAGGACTCCATTCAGGGTTCGCGTATTCAGATTTGCAGACAATCTCGTGGCCGACATCTGCTTTCTGGCATTCCCGTGAACAGTACTGTACTAGAAGGCAGGAAGGACAAGCGAAACTAGCAAAATTTATACAACCTGGATTATCACAAGGGAAAGTCAGTGTTGACGAAAGCTTGGTTAAGATAGTGTTAGTGCTATGCGACTTAGGCATAATGATGTCGTGGTATAGAGACATCGAGACCAAAATTCGGAATGAATGCTAGCGTTGGGAAGTGTTGGGAAAGCTAATCATCGATGGTAGCATCTGATGTTGTTTTGCTGGAGTATACCTTAGGTACATGTGTGTAAGTGTAAGAAGCCTTTCATTTGTTAGAAGTCTTCTAGCTTATGCTAGTCTAACGTGGTGTATTTTAGTATACCTAGTCTATCTACATGTAGGTAGGAGGTACCTTATGTAGTAGGATGCGCTTACCTATACCTGACCTGCCTGATATAAACTAGGTACCTACCTACCTACCTACCTCTTAACCTAACCTGTTAGATACGATACCCATGTTTTGTCAGGTAACCCTTATTACCTTACCTAAGGCAGCCTAAGATCGGGTAGGCCCCTCTTATACACAACCTTCGAATTTCGTCGAGGGCTACAAATTTCTTGAAAACAACAATTTAGCAACACCTGACCAACGCCTTACCACAACACCTTGCCAACAACTCAGCCTGCCACATGAACGTATTGGCTTCCAATGCTCGTGTCGCATGGCACATCTCCTTATTTGGGCGTCGTCTTTTTTTTAATTTTTTTTTTAAGATCGTTTATTCATTCGCTCCTTTTAAGGGTATCGTAGCCGCCTAGTTCATGCTTTTCTTTCGTCTTTGCCGCTTTCAAGCTGGACCACTTCTAATCCTTCAACCTGCTCCATTCTCTCTCGGTCATACCTACTAGCCCCCGAGCTAGATCGTGAAACCTCGTCGTTTCCCAGTAATGTCTCTTGGCTCTCCCCCGTTTTGCTCCCTATCATATTCCATATCGATCCGAAATCACCGTCTTCCTCGTGAACTTCTGGCACGCTAATTAGGCTATGCGCCCTTAACATCGCATTTTGCGCCTCTAATGTCGGTGTTGGATTGCTTGGATTGCTTGTAGCGGCGCTAGTGGTGGTAGTGGTAGTAGTAGTGCTGCTGCTGGTGTTCCTACTAAGGCTTGCCTGCAGGCTCCCTTGCCTTGTTGATAGCGAATCTCCCCTAGCCCTTACTTGTAGGACTGATATTGTCCCTGAGTTGATTATGCTGTCGCGCTGGTCGCGAGTATCTTCCCAGCCGAATTCGACTCCGAGTGCTCGTTCTACATCGGCTTTGCTATAGGATCTTGACCGCCGTTGCACGTATTCGTCGAATTTAGTATCGCGCTTATGGTCATAGCTCATAGGGCGCTCCGTCGTCGGTGGCGGAGTTGTTTGTGGCGAAGATGGCTGGCTACCGAGGGCTACAGATATACGGCAGCTAACGGCGGACATCGATCGTGGCCGAGTAACCGTCACGTAAGGATTTGTTGGATCGTACGGTGTAGGAGCTTCACGCCACGATGTTCGATACGCCGTCTCTTCGGGGTCTTCGGTACTAGCGTAGCCATACGGCTTGACATTGCCGGGTATATGGTAATCGTCGTAACTCAATAGGCGACGATAGATGGTAAATGAATAGAAGGTAGGGATGATAGTGAAGAATCTTGAAGGAACTCATGAGCACTTCCGTCTTGCATCGCCGGGATGTTTACGAATAGAATCAGAACTTACAAGAGTAAGCAGTCAAATATTAATCCTACTAAGGAGTAGGCCCTATCGGCGTATCTGACGTAAACCACGATATCAAGGGCTAGGACGGCAGATGTAAGAGCCAGGTTTATGATGTTACCAAACAACAGAGGTAGAGGCGTCAACACCTCGGCGATAAATCGTGCTATCGAGACGAATACTATGACGAGGGAGATGAACGAAAATGTGATGATGGCCGTTTCCCATCTGCGATACAGGTTAGCCAAACCCCTCCTCTTAGGATTTATCGTCAAATTTATAAACGGCAACCAAACGTTTTTTTTTTTTCACTCACATAAACTCCACTGTAGGATCCTCGCCCTGATCTAGCTGGTCTTTCCATGTCTTAGACGTTCGTGAGAGTCGATAGGAAAACAAACCCATCATCGCTAAGAGAATGAGGATTTGAAATATCCAACACGGCAGCAGTATCGTCTTCCTCCATTTTGCTCTGCTAAACTGCGCGTTATCTCGATGCCCGGAACCCATCTTCAACGCTTGGGATACTCCGAAACAGTGGTTTATTACTCTCGCCTTGAAGCTGTAGGAAAGACTATCTGGCTTTTACTGAACTTTTGAACGATATTTTCCTCTATGGTACGTCTTATACCTCCATCGTGGGCATCGAATAGACACTAGGTTAGTGAGATTGGTATCGCCGAGCAGCTGACGATATTTAACGGAATCTAATGCAGCCTTACGAGACAACCCCGCGCGGGTGGATAGCTACTATATAAAGTCTTAAGAAAGAAAAAGAAAAAGAAAAAAACTGGGTAGGTACCTAGGTAGGAAAGCAAACATGAGCCATATGCATAGCCTCATGCAAACACCGTCCCGCCAGGTTCTATCCAAAGCAGGGCACTTATTGGTGGCTCCAGCAGGCAGCGCTGGTGGAAATTACACCAACCAGATCTTCTCTTCAGCTGGAAGGTTCCGCCTTGGATACCTACTACGAAACCATGAGACGAGGAGGCACCTAGCGACGTGACAAAAGCTTGTATTATTGCCAATATAGAATTGCGGAAGAACGCCCTGCGTTGGTGCCAACGCTGGCTTCGGCAACAAGCAATGGCGATTGGGTCACCGCGAGATTCGTCTAGCGACTAGCAACCACCAAATCCACATCGTGGGCTCTTGCTAACCTGAGATGGATCATGGTAGGGCTTGATAACGCGTTGCGGCTGAGTTTAAGCTGGAGGACCCTTGTCGAGTCAGCTAAACTGCATGCGGTGTTTAGACCAAAGACCAATCACGCTCGGCTCCGTGACGAAAGATGGAGACTCGATGAACTGTTCAACGAGACGGACGAATTGAACTTAGAAACCTGGTCCTACTTGCAGCTTAAAGCGGTATAACTGCGCGGATACTTTTCACATAGATCAGCCTTATTGAACAACGCATGAAATCCTTTACTCGCCGTACGCGATGGAAATCTTTCGACAACTTCCTCGGTATCTGGAAGCCAACCCCAGGTTCGCATGGCTCGTACGGCGGGCGGCATGGGGTGAACGGTGAACTGACCATCAAAAAGCAATATTTCCGGCAGCAACGGGGTTTGTTTATGACGCGTAGCGAAGATTTTCTTCGCTCACCGGATTTTTGATGAGGTAATTGGTTTCCCTATTCAAAAGAAAATCGACAGCGCTGCTTACCCCGGTTCTAAAGTATCTAGGGGTATATAAACTAACCAATAAGAGAGCTGCCCCCCGTGGAGTGTTGCTAAACTTGGAGTTTTGGACTCAGCACGGTCAACAACAAACTGTTGAAGACTCCATCGTGCGGCCCGCTCCTGGGGCTGTGCCTCGCTGGGATAATTCCGAATTGGTAACGACGGTCTTTGGGAGCAAGCCGGGTTTTAAAACTGATCGAGCACGATTACAATTCAAGGCGAGTTGCCTAATAGAATCTCCGTATTCACAATCACATGACCAGGGCATTAGGCTATTCAAGCGCGGAAAGGATACGCCATCGTCTCGCACGGAGTTGGTGAACTGGATACCCTGGAAATCCATGTTATTAGTCCTACACCGGGATGCGCGGTCCACGAAAGTCATACGAATTTTCTAGAAGGCTTGTTCCACGCAGGTCAACCCAGCTAAAAACTATTCCATTTCCTCTACAACCCTCAATTTCGTGCCATATTCTAGACGATGACTGCATATGGAAATTACCATCATCGCAACGAACGATTCAAAGACGAGATGCACTGCGGATATCCGAACTTAATTTAAAACGATGCACATTACCTAGATAGGCAGATAGGCTAGGTAGCTTTGGGTTCAGGTAATAATAGGTATTAGCATATATTCACAAATACTCTAGGTATAAGTCCAAGCTCGGCTCGATATCGAGCCCTCTCCCATCCTAATTCCGTCATTCATCCAGGTTCCTTCTTGGTGTGGTTTGCTGTCCTTGGCGCCAATAGCTTTGCTTCATTAGGTCATATTTCTTGGGCGGCTGGATGGGTTCCAAATATACACGCCGAACGTACGACTTGATATATCCTTCATCCTCGGTGGCTGTGCCTCGCGCAGAATGAGTTTATACGCGTTGGTTCTTAGTGACGCCGGCGGCGTTGAAAGCTACGATGTTTCCGTTAGCGTCGACCATGGATGCCGCCTGGACCTTTTCTCCATCCTGTCGTGCGACTACAGGCTTCTGCGATCGGGGCACTTTGGCTGTAGTGGTGGTCAGCAAGTATACTTATCTACGGGATTGATTCTCGTCAGCTTACTGAGCTCCGCCATGGCGACGGTGGAAAAGAGACCGAAGAGAACGACTGAAAGCTTCATCTTGACTGGTTTAAAGTTCTGTCTTTTTGAAAATTGAAATGGTATAGGTCGGCCGGCGACGAGCTTGCGTGAATATGCTGCTAAAAGGCGAAATGAAGGTTTGATCAACTAGAGTGGCTATAACTCGCAGAGGATAGGGAAGAAAGAAACGAAAACACGAAATGGGACGTGGACTAGATGGCCTTTTGTATGATTACGTTGAGGCGAAGTCAGCATGTCTACGGAAGGGCAAGCGCCTTCGAGTGTCCCTTGTTACAATACTGATCCTCGATGGGCAAGACTACTTGAGACGTTCGGAAAGTCCATTTCCCGTCACTACGTACTTGATCAGGAAACAATTGGCAGGGAGGTCCAGGGTGAGACTGGCTCGAGTATGGCCTAGAACTCTGGCCGTTCTCGAAGAAACCAAATAACAGACCCTCGTTAGTCCCAGATGACAGGAACATTGGCAGCCCCGCTGGGGAACAGATCTGCCTGTAAGATCCCTCAAAACGAAGTTTAATAGGCGGATACTGAGTAGCGCAGACCCCAGCTGGAGAGCACGGAGAACTGGAGAGGACGAAGAACTGGGACGAGACGGGCGGAAAGTCGTTAGCGAGCAAGGGTATGAGACGACGCTGTAACAACTTGAAATGCTTATTTGAGCCGCTCCGTAGCATCGGGGTTGCTGCAATGCAACGCTGTGGGAGTAAACAGTCAAACAATCTTGGCATCCGAGGGACGATCAGGGACGGCTCTCCATCTTTCCGTGTTCCAAGATGAACCCGAAAAAAGGACTGGGTCGTGGCCTAGTAGTTATTTAAATTATGAGAGGAAACTCATGGACGAAAGCAAGTTCAAGAAAGATTCGTCATCAAGTTCGACGTATTTCGGATGGTAGGGGTTTGAAGAAGTTAGAACGTCCACGCGAGAAAAAGAAGAAAAAAAGATGAGACGAACCAAATCATGTTCGTAAACTTCCCCTGATTTCCAAATTATTTAATCATGTACGTACCCTCGTATACGGTATACCATCTACAATACATAGTATCTTATATAATTTACACTGTACTGCGAAAAGGTGGATACTCGAATACACGAGCCACACGATACGGCCCACATTAAAATATTATTCCCAAGGCGAGGAACATTGAAATCAATGTTTCTACAATACATATGTCAGGTATTCATCTTCAATCCCAGAATGACAAGAATTCGGTAGTCAGCCAAGAGCCATGTTCAAGCTCTTGGGTGTCAGACCAAAAGTTTCAACCCCCCTAATATTTTCATTATCAAAATTTCCAAGTCAGAGCTGGCAAACTATTCCAAATCTTGTGCACCGAGATTGGAGCTCGCCTCGCGGCTTGCGTTTTCACACCATGTCCGTTATCGATGTCGGTCGTCTACAAGACCTGAGACACACCAGGCATACAATAACTCTCTCCAATGGCAAGCGCCTTGTTCTCTTTCGCTTGCCGAGAATTGATCGGCCGAGCCATGTAGCACTACCACCGGCAGAAAGTCCAGATTCCTGGAACTACTATGCAATGGAGGCAGAATGTCCTCACGCTGGTGGGCCGATGGCCGAGGCTCACATAGATATCGAAGACTCGTCCTACATTGCCTCTTGCCCGTGGCATGCCTATGACTTTAACGTAGAGACCGGTGAGTCTAGTTACGGTATCAAAGCCTGCACGTTCCCGGTCACCGTTCAAGGTGAAAGGGTGAGCATACAGATTGCCGGAGCTGAGAACTTACAGCTCGACAAGATCGAGCCCGTCAGCGAGAAGGTGAAATTTAAACACGGCCCCAGAACTGATCCCTCAGGTCCTGCTAAATATCTTAGCGAGAATGCGAGCTTGTGCGATTGGTGCAATCACATTCTAAACACCTCTAATCCCGAGCACAAGATTGAATTGACAACGCATCTCTTCTCGTTGTTTGCAACGCGTGAGCAGTCGTCTTCGCCCATGGATATTGGGGCTGGCACCGTGGTTCCTCCCCATGAGCCGCCAAGACAAAATCAGACCCAGCTGAAACCGGGGCAGATGCCCAGAGCTCGCAAGGGGGGAAACCTTAAAAACAGGATCATGATGCTCCACGCGCTGGCAAACATCGAGCAGTGGGCCATCGATCTAGCTATCGACATCATGGTCCGATTCGCTTCGTTTCACACGACAGCGCGGGATGGGAACGACAGCCCACGCCCACTACCGCGCACGTTTTTCTACGACTGGCTGAAAGTCGCCAACGACGAGGCCAAGCATTTCTCTTTACTACGAGCAAGGTTAGAGGAGCTGGGGAGCCACTTTGGTGCTCTACCGGTCCACCACGGTTTGTGGGAGTCTGCTGTACGAACATCCCACGACCTGCGCGCAAGGATAAGCGTTATTGCCCTCGTCCACGAAGCGCGTGGCCTTGACGTCAATCCAAGGACTATCGAAAAGTTCCAAAATGCGAGAGACGCCGAAAGCGTCGACGCGTTGAACGTGATACACAACGATGAGATTACGCATGTCACTACGGGACACAGGTGGCTCACCTGGATCTGCCAGCAAGAAGGCGCAGACCCGGTGCAAGTATTTCGAAGCAACGTGCAGAAACACTTTAGAGGTGCGGTGAAAGGCCCGTTCAATGTCGAGGCTCGGCAGCAAGCTGGTATGGATCAGAGTTACTACGAAGACCTCCAGGGACTCCCGTGGGAAGGGGACGTCATCGCTGGTGGCTGAGGTATTAATTAATATCGTCATAATGCAATATAGATGGCTTGATCAGACGGCTTGATCTAGACTCTTGTTGGATAACGCCGCGTAGAAAAACATTAAGCCATCGTTAACCTAATCCCGGCGCTGTTGTGCTGATGATTACGGATATTCCGGGGCTGAGTAGCTTACTGGTGGCTTTTAAGCGCCTTTCTTGCAAAGCGCCAAGTTGCCACTAGCTGTTATATTTACTCTTGCGCTATAACTAGCCGTTGGTGGCATGTTCTATTTAGAGTCTGGCCTCTCCACTTCCCAAGAACAGGTACCTATATATTGAAATAGGGCCAGCCTAAGTTGACGAACGTTGCATTAATAGTCGACTCAGAAAATACTTGAGCTGGATTCTTGGGAGCATTAGTCAATGTAACTCGTCTGTCATAGTAAGGACACAGACAGACCTAGGTATATGATTAGGTAGGTTAGGTTAGGTTAGGTACCTATTTGATTACTACACGTTGGAAAATTTCCACAGGTACAAAGATAGGTACACAAGCTGAAGAATGAGGCTGTTAGTATTTTGCTGAATTTAAGTTATAAAAGGCCACCGCCATCACCAAAAGTAAGGCTATTTTTAGTTGGACCTTGATGGAGTCATGAAATATTATGAAAAGAATTGTGCATTGTCAGGCATCTACTTTATACTTCCTATGCTTAGTAGGAGGCACCTAATGCAACGTGCAACATCGACATGCAGATAGCGCCTAACCTGTGCAGATAACTGCTGATATGAATAGGGAAAGCGGGGTGTCTCAAATCCACAGACCCCAACTGGCAACCTGCAACCACTGTAACGACTGCCACTAATGCAAACATTTTAGGACCAGAGATTCTTAGCTGATCCACCCGCCCACCTTCGATTCTCCCCTCTTCCAACTCCCGCTTGTTTAATCGCTTCCTTGATCGCTCGCTTGACTCCATTCTCGGTTATTTTTGTTCTTCCAAAGCCTTTGCTGATTTTCTAAGGTTCTTGTCGGCTTGCTAGCTGCTTTCACCGTCTATTGCGTCTACGACGGTCCTTAAGAAAAGCCAAACTTCGCCAAGCAGTAACCAAGCAACCAAGCAACCAGCCATGGCTACCGTCCCGCATTGCCTTTACTGCTTCGAGACGCTCGCTGCGTACCTCGAGGGCCGCAAATCCCTTAGCCTTAGCGAAGTTGTGGACGCGTGGAACGAGTACAAGAAAGATGCGGGAGCCGGCATCGAGGATTCGAGCAAACAAGAGAGCCTCGAGAAGCAGATCCCCGCTCTTAAGCGAGTAGTCGGTTCCGAATCTACCGACATAAGCAGCACATCCTCACCCTCTTCGGGTTCATCTTTGTCGCTCGCTACCGAAACAACCGCGACCTCGACAGATTCTCTCCCGGAAACCATCATTACCGAATCCCCGCTGTTCGTCACCTGGAACACTGTGTCTCCCCGCACGGGTAATACTTCCCTTCGAGGCTGCATCGGGACGTTCGAAGCGCAGGAGCTCGGCGAGGGGTTATCGTCCTATGCCATCACTTCGGCTATCAACGACATGCGCTTCGATCCCATCAGCAAGCGGGAGCTGCCCTCTCTCGAGGTAGCCGTTACACTATTAACAGATTTCGAGGACTGCGCCGATACGATGGACTGGGAGATCGGTAAGCACGGACTGCGCATAAGCTTCTCGGAGCGGGGCCGTCGCTTCGGCGCCACTTACCTGCCGGACGTCGCGGCCGAGCAAGGGTGGACCAAAGAAGAAACGCTAGTCAGCCTGATGCGCAAAGCCGGCTGGTCGGGTCGTAAGGACAAGTGGCAGAGCGTCGAACTCAAAGTCGTGCGCTACCAGGGCAAGAAGAAGTCCCTGCTATACTCCGAGTACAAGGAGTGGCGCGACTGGGTCGACCAGAAAGACGAGGACGAGGCATAGAAGAAAAAAAAAAGAACAAAAAAAGAAAAAAAGAGCAAGGCAATATATCACAATACACCATCACAGGTGCTCTCTTCTCAGGGAGCGCATATGCAAATGCATTTATTGGGCGGCGTTGGCGCATGCCGGAGGGAATGGAGGGAGTATAGAGTACGGCGCCTGGAACAGCAGCGGCGGAGGCATCAGCAGTAACAGCAGCCCAGGTGGGTTATTCGACGATACAGGTAGATTTTTGGTCCTTTTTTTGGTGCGCTTCCGCTGTGCATGTTATACTCACCTAGTCGTTAGGTTTTACTTTGAGGTAATTAGGTACTTCTACGACTTATCATAAGATTGACATTATTATTGACCTAACGCCCTTCGGCCAAGCTGAAGTAAAATCTTTAATTAGAATCATATTTCTAAGCCATACGTATCTGTCGCGCAGCTCCGTTGACCAGGACACAATTCGCAATTCGCAATTCAGCTAGATTTGTTAGATCGATGAAGGGCATAATACTCAATGATGGAGATCTCATGCCAGTGGTCATCTAGGGGAGAAGGGAACCTGGCCATCCCCTGGCATGAAGCCAATGAGCCGCCCTTCTTTTAGAACCCCTCGTTGCCATATCGACGTTACATGTCTTTAAGGAATTGGCATCTTTTAACCATGCGCTCCCGCCGGACCGCACGAGAAAATGTCTCTGAGGAATGGGCCCCTCCATTCTTCAAGGTAATTTAACATCAACCCCTTCAGCGACAACCGTCTCCTAGTTATCGCATTCAAATTCCACGACCAACGGTTTAATATACTTCACGATGCGCTCCTCAATGGCATACAATATTTTTTCTGCTTTTCTGTGCTGCGCACACTTGCTTGCAACTACCACGTTGCGAAAAGACCCAGGTTAACTATCTAACGTACTTACCGACGACGTAGCATGTCGTTTTCGAACCCTTTTTTCTTCATTGCTGCTTCTACGCTGATCGGCGTGGGACGGGCGACTACCTTGAAGCCGTTCAATGCGACGACGCATAATGGGTCGGCAAATGCGACAAGCCTCCCTAAGGGCTCTCACGAGGTCCTCTCGTTACCCCTCAGGAAGATTGAGCACAGGGGTGTTGGGACGCCGAGTTTGGCCAAACGATATTTCGGGTCCGACGTTCTAGGCGTTTACGGCGCGGCTTACTTTGCTGAGCGTAAGAGCTTCCGTCTTACTGTCACGGTGAATTGATTTCTAACAGGAAGGCAGTGACAATTGGGACTGGCGACAAGCCGCAGACGGTCAACGTGCTATTGGATACGGGCTCGTTCGAGCTATGGGTTAACCCGGACTGTGCCGCGACGAACGTGCACCAGTTCTGCTCCGACTTTGGGCACTACGATCCTGCGCTATCGCCTACGTCGAGGAATCTGAATAAGACGTTTATGATTCAGTATGGATTGGGGAGCGCGTCTGGTACCTACCATCAGGACGACGTGTTCATCTCAGGTAAGTAGAACACCAGCTCTCTTCTATTCAATCCCTATAAAGAAGGAGGCGGGGTATGATGATGATTTCTTAAAACGACAGTTGCTAATGAAGAAATCCAGGTGCGAAACTCCCGGGGCAACAGTTTGGCGTTTCGAATGCGTCTAGCGATGTCTGGTTCGGTATTCTAGGATTAGGCCATGGTAATGGACACGGCGTTATCCAATATGAATCCGTCGTAGACTCGTTGGCCGCGCAGGGGTACACGGATAGCAAGTTATTCAGCTTGGATTTGGGTGCCCAGCCTGGGCCTACCTGTGAGTAGACCACCGTTGATTTGTAATTTTTTATACGCTCCAAGTTATAGCTGTATATGAACATACGACGACTAACATTTAGCAAGCTGCCATCACTGGGGAAATGGTATTTGGAGGCGTCGATACGAATAAGTATGCTGGTTATTTGGCGAAAGTCCCTACGGATCCCAACGATGCGTATGTATTCCTGTTCCCTTACGTCTCCTAACTCACACACCGACAAATTTATGATATGGAATAAATTGAGCAGAACTATCCATTATCTAACTCTTTCTAGGCACTATGTCGCGACTCTGAACTCGATCACTCTCCAAGTCCCTTCTTCTGCTTCTAGTTCGGGCTCCGCGAATACCCTTTCTCAAAGCATCAAGGCCATTAATGACTCCAACCTACCACTACAGGTCGTTGTCGACTCGGGTACCACGCTTTCTCTACTGCCGGAGTCAGTGGTCACAGCTATAGCAGCCGGGTTCCCAGGGGCCCAGCCTGATGGAAATGGCGGCTATAAAGTGCCGTGTGACCTGCGAAATACCACCGATGGCCGTGTGGACTTTGAGCTTCGGGGTGATGGCGACAATAAAGTAAAGATCAGCGTTAGTTATAGCGACTTCATCTGGTACGGCGGGGACGAATGCTTCCTCGGCGCATGGTATACGAGCAATGTCGGAGTATGGATCTTGGGAGATACGTTTTTAAGGGGAGCTTATGGTAAGTACAGCATTTCGTCATATACCACGATGCAAAGAGTCCTAGAAACCACACTACGAAAATTCAGAGAGCTGACCGCATCAAAAGTGACGTTCGATCAAAGCAACAACGCGTTGTACATGGCCAATTATGTCTCCTGCGGCGAGGGCTCGAACCTAGTCCCTGTTCCAGCAGGCCCCGACGAAGCAGCTAATATCCCCGGATCATGCGAGATGGCAGCGCTAGAACAAAAAGTCCCTTCGCCTGCGGCTACGATACCCGTTTACGACCCAGATTGTGATTGCACTGTGTTTTCGTTTTCCACCGCATTCTCTACCGCATTTTCTACTGCATTCCATACTGCCTTCAAGACAAGAACTGCGACTGAGACTGAAATCGCGACTGCTACCACTGCTACCGTCAGGAAACAGGCCAGCGCAGCTCCTGTACCTAGCCCACTAACACCCGAGGATGATGAATGTGACGAAGATGAGGATCAAACGCAGCAAAAGCATGTTGAGATAATCACTGCTACGAAAACTTTCACGAGCACTCTCACTCACCATGTCACTTATACGGCTGGCCGGCGTGTTGCTACCAGCCACGTGACAGTCGTAACGACCTTCTGCCCAGGCGACATTATTCCCCCCGCATCTCCAGCTCCCGCCCCAGCCCCAGCTCCAGCACATTCCCAAACCCAAGGCCGGGTCCAACGCACCATTACTACTACTCGTCCCATTCCCAGCGCATTTATGTCTACTCCCGTAGAGCTGGTCACGATAGCACGGGTAACCCATGTGACAAAAACGGCCCCAGCGACTTTCGTAACCACGATGAACTCGACAACACCAATAGCAAGCACGGTCCTTGACTCGGCCCGCAAAAACGCCTATTCTTCCCTAACTCCCTGGGATCTGTCTTTCCCTACCGAATCTATCCTTTCGACGTTCCCCTTCTCTCCCCCGACATTCTCCTCCTTCCCAACTGCCGCCTACTCCGTCCCCGTTCCCCCGTCTTCATCCCCTTTTCAACAGTCCCGCCAACAGCCACAGCAACAGCAACAGCAAAGCGCCGCTCCAAACTTCGGTTTCGGCGCCGCGGGCTGGGGTTTCAACAGTTCCAGCTCCAGCAGTCCTCACATCAGCGGCGGCATCAACTACCACAACAAACCAGCAGGCACAGGCGTAGGCATAATAAGCCAAGCCGGTGCCGTAGAAGTTCCACCCACGTCTGCCCCCGCTCCCGCGGACGCGAACCCGGCCCCGACACCGGCACCGGCGAAAACGACCGAGATCTGGCACTCGCCGATGCCGAGCGGGATGGCGATGGCCACCTCGGCCGCGGTGAAGAAGACGCTCGGCGACGTGGCCATCGGCCTGTGGACCGTGATGATGGTCATGGTGATAAGGTCGGCTGCGGGGGTATTATGAAGGCTAGCGAGGGGGGAGGGGCCGGACCTGTCTGGCGTGCTATCTGCACCACGACTGCCTTCCCGCTTTTTTTCTTTCGGTATTTTTTGTGGCTCCCTTTTTGTTTTGTTTGGGATTTTGATACCGTTGCTATGATTGATTGATTGAATGAACCGATGGGTGAAGGGAGTGAGTGAGGGGAAGGATATGTAATAAGCTAAGGGACCCGATGGGATGGTTTGCAAAAAGGATGGTTGGTTGGTGGTGGGTGGACTACCTGGTAAGGTCTGGAAAGGTCGATGAGTTGCTGGGACATTTGGATAGTTTGGATATTGAGATACCTTGGTTTTGCTGTGGAGGATGTTTTGATAAAGATAGAGGTAGCTTATAACTTGTATGACAGGTACGGAAGAACTAATATTTTATACATTATAGATAGCTTAGGTAATAGAATAGTTCTGAATCGCGTTTCTAACTCGTGGCTCTGCGATTATAAATTTTTTTTTTTTAATATTGATGAGTGAATTGCCATGTGAACCTCGAATCATTTACGATTGTATCAGATCACGCTCCGGCCTAATACCCACATCATAGATCATACAAAGACAAACCGCAAGTATTTAGAAAAATGAGAATTATTATGCTAGGCGAAGTGCCTATAGTTTTACTATTCCTTCCCGTCCACCCAATATGCATCCCGAGCCTAAAAGGGAGGAGAATCCCGACAAGAGCGAGACTTTTAAACATGAAAGCTGGACATAGGAAAAATAAAGTCCGCTATGTATGTGGATTCACCTCTCCCTTGCCACCGTGTAAACGCCTGTGTGTAGCCCTGGGATACAACTTTTGTCCCAGGGAGAGTGAAAAAAAAACATCTCTGCTCGTCTCCTTCATTCTCCAACCAATAACACGGTCTAAACCAATGTCAAATCAATCACGGACTCGAATAACGCGAACTCAATGTATGTACAATCCATCCGCGCCCCCAAAAAGCAGCTTCGTGAACTCGTTAGGTATCCCAATAGTGCTTTAGTAGCACTAATTTGCGCCAATTCAGATTAACAATGCTTTTTTCGCTCGCTCCCTCGCTTAGCTCTGTCTCGAAAGTTCAAAATAGCGCCTCAGCCGTAAGCCCCCTTTTAACTCCATTCACTTTGCACGGTAATCGACCGACATGCCCAAAGAATAAGGACAAAACCCCGCCTTACCAACATCGTAAGCTTCTCCAGAAGCCATCCTTCCCCCTGCTGCCAAAGCCTAATTTCTGACCATCGCCGAACCGTGGGCCTCTTGACAGACCTGAGCGCTTAGGCTTTTCCGTATCCGTATCGCGATCATCGCTGTCGCCGAGCGGCGTTAAAGGCTTCGTGACGCCACGGCGGTCCATGTCGGTGTTATCGAGGACGCCCATCTCGGCAAGACGACGGCTCTCGACGACTCGGCGAACGATGAGGGCGAATGTCTCTTCGATGTTGACCTCGAGTCGAGCACTCGTCTCCATGAAACCGCAGCCGCGTTTCCGCGCCCATTCGAGCCCCTGAGCCGCGGGCACCTGCCGCGACTCTTGCAAATCACACTTGTTGCCGGCCACAATCTTGACCGGTGGTATTGTCCTTGCCCCGCTACCAGCTCCGCCTAGCCCTAAGCTGCCTCTTCTCGCGGATCCCGCTCCCAGGCCGGCCCGCCGAGCCCGTGCTGCGTTATCAAGACGCGTCTCCGCCTCCATGTCTATGAGGTCGTTGAAATAATGTAAGGCATCAAGACTGTCGGATGATGTGATGTCGTAAACGAGAAGGAATGCGTCGGCGTTCAGATTTGACGACGCCCACATGCCTCGATACTCCTCTTGTCCCGCCGTGTCGGTTAGCGATAGATGGTAGGTGGTTCCATCGATTCGCCTGGTGATGCTGTAGCTATCTTCGATGGTCGGGTCGTATTCGGATGTCCATTGAGACCGTACTAGTCGAAGAGTTATGGACGACTTACCGCAACCTCCGTCACCGCATATCGTAATCGATATGGGCACTGGCGGCTGCGAGGTAGGTGAATGTGGTTTATTTTGCTGTTGACTGTGATGCATTTCTGGCTTCTGGCTTTATGGCTTTCTTCTTGTCTACTGTTCGTTCTTCTCGTTTATTTATTATTTTCCCTCGACTCTTTTACACAGACAGCGGTGTAGCTAGCTGGCTATTCAGTAAGGTAGATCAAGGTAAAGCGGTCGTCGAGGTGAGCAGGCGGGCGGGTATTAGGGTTTGTTATCGAAAGGTTATTGCTCTAGTAAAGGCGGTAAGGACTGTAAGGCTCGAAAGTAATGGCGGTATGCGGTATGCGGCATGCGATATGCGTGGAGGGAATGTAGTAAAAGACGAAATCATAAGTCAATCTCCTCTATTCTTCCCCTTTCGCCTTCCATACGTGTAAGAATAGGAGCTGCGAGCTGCAAGCTGCAGGGTACGACAGGTTCTACTTTGCGGTGCTCCACTAACACTGAACGGGTTTTGCCCCGTTTGGGTCTAACCGCAGTTTAAATTGTCCTATAAGACAGAATCTATTATAGCCCTCTCAGTAACTGAGCGGGTGTACTGGGTAATAAGTAAGGGATAGCAAGTTACGGGTTTTTGTAATGAAACTCGCAACGGCAACGCCAAGGTCCAACGGGTTTGGGTTGAACAATGTTAATATGATAGGAGATCGAAGAGAGCGACTTTTTGTATACGTTAAGATGAAGCAAATCAGGTTCTAGTTGTGTCGGGTAAATACGCGGAGGGTATGTTAGACGCAGGAGAGGAAATAGGTGTATGTAAGTGGGAATGGTAAGTGGGAATTGTATGATGTGATGTGATGTATGACGCGCTACGATGAGATAAAAATGGAATATGTCGAAACCTGTGCTCGGACGCAAAGACCAGCCCGATAAGTTCAATACGTAGTACGTAGATTAGGTTCTATGCAAGCAAAAAAGTGTAGGAATAAGGTGGAACTGGTGGAAGTTGTTGAACTAAATTCGTAGTGAGTATCCCAAAAGAGGAGGTGGAAATGAAGATGAGGACGAAGGTAAAAAACACAGGTTGGGATTTAGATAACTATCAGAATCAGAAAGTAAAGAATTGATGTTTGGAGTAGGGACCGACGTGGAAATTTTCAAAGTTGACACACGAAGGAGAAAATGAAGAGAGAGAAAGAGAGAGAGACATAAATTGAGTACAGGTAGAGAGAGAAAATCATAGAGGTGATTCCAACCCAGACGGTTGGGGCAGGCACAAGTCACAATAGCACCTGAATATGTAGGAGGTAGGAGGTAGCTGTAGGTTGGTTCTGTAGTATAAGGTACAATAGGTACCTAGGTACCTATTCCCAGTAACCCAGCCGGCCAAGCTATCCTCGCCCACGGCTCCCACTCCTTATCCTAGTCCGTACTAGGTACCTCCTAACCTAATCCTGGGTTAGGTGGGGTACGTACTGTGATACAGTAATGAACCTTACCTACCTTAAGTAGTGGTAGCGACGACAGTAGCTACAGCAGCAATGGCGGTAGCGGCACCTGGTCATAGCAGCGTTGATAGTGGGGGGAAGTGACCCTCCTTAGTGGGGTAAGAAAGGGGTCTTAGGGTCTTTACGGGGCTAGTGCCACAGAGCTTTGACATGACGGAAACGCCGTTTAATTCGCCAATTTCTTCTTAGTCTTCTCCCTTTATTAGGTATAGCTCCACGCTCGAGCCTCGGAAGTTACTGATCATCGACATAACACCCTAAATTATCCCCGAAAGACTACCTCTAGAAATACCTCTAGAAACAACAATTTTCTCGTGAACACCGGGGAAACGGAACAAAAAAAAAAGTCGGATAACTGATCGACGAAACCAGACATCTTTTCTCCGCTCACTGCGATGCAAGAAATAATAAACGAGTTTTCAAAGATCGATAACTACCATGGATCAATATCAACTTCGAAGATCTGGGGAATCTTCAAGGTCCCTCAGAATCTGTACCTTGGGAGAGATACGGGTGGGTAGGTAATGAAAGTGCATAGATGGAGACGTGGAGAGAAATGTAAGGTGGTGTAGTATTCGCTTGCAATGGAATAATTACAAGATCAGTCTGGAGGCTGTGAAGACTGTGACAGGAAGATGCACACCTCTCGGGCATCAATGAACTTGAATGTTCCGAAAAGCCTCACTTTAGGTACCCTTTAGCAAAGCTCGAACTGACCTAGAGTTATTAGGCGCAAAGCGGGCACAGATGTACCATACCATGAAGATGCCTGTCCCGGTGCCTTGGGAAAAGCAAAGGATACTACCTTCTATTGGCACATTGGATCACCGAAGAATTGATGCGCGAAGGATCCAAAAACTACTACGATCACTTACATACTACGGGACAGACCGTCGAATAGACTTCCTTGCACGTCGGACGTCATGTCATGTCTTGAGCCGCCGAGGCCTGTGATAATAAGTTTCCATCAGCTTTGATAGGTACGGCTTCCTTTGCCGCCCGCTCTCCCCGCTGATCCTAGTCATCCCAGTCCTTGGGGTCATAGGTCATAGGCTACAATATGCAGGTCAGAACGCAGAGTACTACAGTAATCCCCCCCTCGTGGGATCCTAGGATCAATTAGGAAACATGAATCGAATCATAATATACCCTCATTGATACCTGAAAGTCACTCATAAAGGTCACCACTAAGGCCGGTATGAAATTTTCTCACGGATTGTTTCCAACAGCAACTTCACTACAACACATACAAAAGCTTACCATTAGGTAGAGATAGCATTTCGGGGTTCACGACCTAGGGTAAAACATCCTCAAGCAAGCTACCCCAGCTAACCGACCGCCTCAAAATTAGGTGGCTTTCATGATGTAGCTTAGCCCTGACCGGCTACATCCGACAGCCTTTTGGTTCAATGCTCAAGTTTCAAAACAGACGGCATATTCCTACATAAGTGTCACATATCTGCAACGTATAAACTGCATCCGTTACAATAAACCTACCCAGTATTCGAATCCAGTTCTCCAGTATTTCTGCAGATCTAAAAAGCAAATGCTACAGATCGGTCAGGCTTCTGCAGGGCCAAAGTGTGTAAAACCCGCCGCGTTGGTTACGGGAAGGAAACAAGAAAAGGCTCGCGGCGCAGTCGAGTTGTAGTGTCGTATGCACGCAATTTACAGTTACCAACTCGCCAAGCACCGCTACCGGGGGATAGGATAGGTCGGAGAATTTCTAGCGGATCATCACGGGTACTAAAGAGCAACAAGCAAGCTCGGCAACGACTTGAACGAAAACAATAGTACATACCTATTTTACCGAGCAAAACTATCCACATTCGCGAACGCCGTAAGAAAAACCGGTCGTGTTCTTACAAAAACGGCCTAGCCATAGAGAGTTACTAAGTATCGAACGAGGATAAGAATCCATTTCTCTCCACGTGCGTTCAGGGATAAAACTTTTAGAGCGGTCATAGCGCGCATCCAGAAGTCCAGAACTCTTGTCACCAATGATTGATTTGCTTCGCTTCTGTACCCCACCATGGAAAATGTCATTCGAAGGTTGCGTCAAAGGTTGCGGTACAATACAGTTGACTACCTAACCTAACGTATAACGGCTTACCAACAGATAAGTGATACTGCAAGTATCTGAACGACTTCTTCCAACAGTAAATCATAAAATTTGCGTAGCGAAACGCGAAGCATCCCCGACATCTACCAGATCATGCAGATCCCGGCACATGTTATACTTGCTTTTTTAGGTAGGTGGTCACTGCCCTGCGCCGGTATCAATTGCGAAGATTGCGTCGCATCGGACACGCAATTGAGGCAGACGAACATGTCTACTGGTACTGGGACGATGGAGAATACCAGGCAGGTACCTAGGTAGGTACCTACCCACGAGGGCTCAGACAGACGGCATCTACCATCGATTGGCTGAGTACCCAATGTGATATGCCAAGGCAACCTAATCTCATATCCCCTTATTGACGCCTCATTGATCCCTGGGTCAATATGTTCGTCACTGCGTGAGGCGATCGTGCACCGATCAGTTACAATAGCGTCAGCGGAGCACATGGAGTATATGGGAGGTGGTATCCAGATCGGCCCTATTGCCGAACTCGATTGGATAAAAGGGTTATCTATGGTCTGTCCAAGTACGGCATCATAACAAGAGAATATTAGGGCTTTTTAACGTACAGGTTACGGGGTGTAGAGATTGGGAGACGGAGTCCTAAAACCATCGGGTTTATACCCGGAAATCTACTACCAACGGCAGCGGCACAACCGACACGCCTCTTCCGCGTAAGGGGAATAAGCTAGGTAATTGTTCGTAGGCGGCTCTTGAATTCAGGGGCAATTGATATCCATTCCTTTGTAACTCATCACTAGGAAATAAGGGGCTTAACTTCTTCGTAAGTACACATGCCGACAACTTCTCCTATCCCATGAATATCATTAGCCTGCGCCTGCATATGACATGATTCACGGGCAGCAGGACGGAGGGTAGCGAGATAGCAGTATCATAAATCACCAGTACACCTATGATATCACAGGCGCAAAGCTTATTGTTATCAAGTGAAACCAAGTAGTGTGGCAACAACTTCATCATTCCATAGGGCACCTTTGACCTAGCTATGGAAACATATGGCCATACATATCGAAGGTTCCATGCGTCCAAGATCTTATCGTATCTAGGATCTTGACACGTACGACAATCAAAAAGGCGCGAAATTCCTACCCATTGGTAGGTAAGTCTCCCCCATAAAGCTTGGCCGGCAAATCAAGCTAGCTAAAAACTACCCCTAATGCCTGGCATAGGGTGATAGAGCCTGCTGCTGCTCTCAGTAGAAACCGATGAGTCGGTTTGGGTCCATAATACTCTGGGCCGCCCTCTGTACGTTGTTGAATTTTGTGTATCCGCAACACTCGCTCTCGAGATGATTCATAAGAGCAGCTAGTGATACGAACTCGCGACCACAGCCAAACCGGTTGGGACAGTGGTAAAGCTTTTGCTGGTCTGTAACATACCACAGGATGTCAGTGATAACCACGTTACTTGAAAACATGCCCTGGAAAGATCAGTCTGAGAACTTACGAACAGGAGAGCCCAGGTGCTGGTTTAGAGACTGAAGAGAGCGAAACTCGCCATGGCAGATATAGCATTTGAAAGCGTATCCGTTCCACGCTTCGGTCGTAGCTTCGTACTGCGGAGAACCGTTCCACTCGATTAGATTCTTGGAGATGAGGCCCTTTGTATCTTTGAATCTGACAAGCTTATACGCCTCATCTCGATTTAGGAACGGCGCCTGTGGGCAGCTTCCTCCTTCCAGATGATGGGAGAGACCAGTGGCGGATGTGTAACTCTTCCCGCAGAAAGGGCACTTCGCACAGTAGCCTCGATGGACGCGGGAGTTAAAATGCTAGGTACCAGATATCCAACGTCAGTTATTCGAACTCGAACGGGACACAAGCACATTTTCGGCCCAAAAAGCAGGTGCCTGATAATGAATCAGCCAGCTCACCATCTTGATGCTGTTGTGATCGTAGAAGTCTCGGTCGCAATCCCTGCAGTAATAATGATCCTCTATCTTGTGCTCTTTCACCTCTTCCTCGGTCGGCCAGGTTGCATTGCAGATGCTGCATCCGTAATACCAATGGTTCTTCGCGTCCATATGATTAACGACGGCGCTGCGGGAGTTGAAATAGCGAGAGCATCTATCGCATTCGTGCTCCGGCACGGAATGATCTAGTGCGTCCATATGCTGCTCTCGACCTTGGAAAGTGGTGAATCTGCGCCAGCACGTCCCGCATGCCCACGACATCTTGTTATTACGGTGTGGCTACCAGCAGCCAGGACGCCTATGAGTGTTGAGAAGTTGGTTTCTGTAAGCGTGGAGATAAGAACGGCGGGAAAAGCCAATCAGTTGGTAGAAGTGGTGTTATCAGGTCCCAAGAGATAGCTCAGGGTGCCTGGGAAATTTTACGAGGATGCCTGAAAACCACCTGCACTCCGGGTACGGACTAAGTTCACAGTTTGCCGGCACGTTGAGAATTTTGAGCTCCACGTTAGATCGAAAAGAATTAAAGTTCATCGAAGAGGGGGACAAACGGTACGTTCATCCTCAAAGAGGTCCAGTTCGCGTTTGTTTACCTACCAGATGGGGGGAGGACGCAACGTGTTTGCGGTTTGGTTGTATCTGCATGTTTCCGTGGTAATGCATGTCCCGTAGTAACGCCTTAAAAATACGATTCGTCATATTCTATAGGACCCCTCAGTACGCCGGCCCTTCTAATTGCTGGCCGACTGGAGTTCTACCTAATAAGAAACTGAGAGCTACCTTCCTGAGATGTCACTGGATGAGTGAATCAAAATTAGGTACCTAATACCGACCCTTCTTAACCAATATTCTTCAATATAGCTGATTATTGGGTATAAATCATTTCGACCAATTCACTTGTATTCACCGCTCGGATTCTACGTCGTAGTCAAGTATTTCCACTGTAATAATATTTTTCTTTTCTTTGGTATATTCTGCCCATAGTTCCTTGACTGGCTTTGATTTTACGGTACGAAATATATGAGATGTAAGCAACCGGATGTGAAAGCTTTCAATAAGTTCCCATATAGAATTGTGCAGGTTGCTACAAGGAATGTATTTGAGGACATCCTACCTAGAGTTAACCAATAGTTAACTACCTTTAATGAGAATCTGACAAGAAATGTCGTTCAGCGGTGATAGCCTCAATAAAGACTAAGACCATTGGTAATTACTTTCACGATTAATAGGTACCTCTTCAAAGAGCAAGTAGGAGTAGTCTTCTTGTGTCGTGATTGGCCAAGATAACGCACTCCAGCTTTGTCTTGGCAGATATCGAAAGACCCACTTTACACCAAAGCAACCTTCAAGAACCAGAGCAGAAGACATTTCTTCTGATATGAATTTGTTACAAGGTAGGAACCCTAGAAAGACTTTTGATAATACCAAACTGGAAAACGAGTATTGGAAATATCTGAATATCTCTCACAAGACGCGGTACGCGCTAGTACCTAGCATTGCCATTCTCTTTGATAGTGACTAGTTTATAAACGCAGATTTCAAGAGCATTGACCACATCGGGTGGTATAGTATAGTGGATAGTACAACACGTTGTGGATGTGCAAATATACTGATACCGTGTAGACCTGGGTTCGATTCCCAGTACCGCCAATTTTTTGTTAATACTTTTTGACGGTTCCAGAAATCCTCACGATACAGGAGGACGGGGTGAATAGCACGATATTTTGTATACTTTGCCTGCTGTGAAGACTCAAAGAAGGATTCAGATTCGACCCACAAAACTGATTCAAGGCTCAATCAAGCATGCGGTTTGGTTGACCTGTTCTCTGAGTTAATCTTGAGATGGCTGAGAGGTTGTTAGGTCACATATTTGTTTGTATTGCCATTCTCAAAGCTGTATTATAATAGTTGCAGTTAGCTTTAGACCGAGATGGGTTGCTGGCTAATAAGTGGTTTCTCCCCATTCATGAGATTAAAGACACTTACACTTTGCAAGGTTACCTCTATCGAGTAGTCCGAAGGTGATTGTCGCCAATTCCCAATTGAGAGGATAAGTTACTTGTTGGACAAAAAAAAAAAATTAAAAAATTTGAACCAATTAATTAGTAAATTACCTCCTATATATATTACAATTCAGATCACAACTGAGTCGGCTATAATCTGTCTTCAACCACTCGTTCGGGATAGTCTTTATTCCATCCTGACGATTCCCCTCGGTCGTCAACGCTTCGATCGACTGTTACGACGGTTGTCTTGGTAATCCCGGTCGGCTTCTGCGTTAATATGCTCTCCTCGCTTCTATTATCCGCCAAGCTATTCGGGACAGCTCCGCGTCGAGCGTCGACCTCTGTCCTCGTTTGGGATTGTAAGAATCTGGATCCCTTAGCGCCAGTGCCGTGGCCGTAATCGCGGAGGTTGTATCCGTCCATCTTGTGGGAGGATCCGTATCGGATGGTGCTATCGAATATCGACTTGAACATTGGTTTTATGCATGGCAGACACGCTGCGATGATTCCCGTGTTTGTTTCGGTCCTGATACGAAAATGCATATTAGTCTTCATCTTATGAGAGAGGTACACCTGAGGTATTCAAAGCTTGTAACTTACGAAACCCATATGGTCAAGTTCGCCGAGTCCCACAGAAAGTCGCCCGTTATTCCATAATTCGAAATAAATGCCGCTTTGATAATCGCTGCTGCGCAAGCACTTCACATATATTAGAATATAGGTCAGCGGTCGATGATGGTGGAAGGCTTACAATACACCGAGGCCAAGAACACATATAAGTGAAGCCTTGGTACGGGAGTTGATCTTAACATTCCAAAGCATCGGAATCGGGAGTAAAGCAAAGAATAAATCTGTGACAATATTGACGCCTGGATTTGGAAGTTAGTATGATTCCTTTTGCAGTTATGAAAAACTACCTAAAACGTTAACGAAAGGACTTGCAATACTTACTTGAGTTGGCGTAACTCAACCCCTGAAGGGTAGACTGTGACCAGCACGTCGTCTGAATGCGATTATCCCAAAGGATTGCCAAATTTTTACATTGTAGTACTAGGGTCATAAAGCAAACGAAAGTATACGCCATGAGAAATACCATGGTGCCGTATAGGACTCGCTTGTAAAAGGCAGACTGGCTGATGCGGAGTAGGAAAAATCCCACTGAACACTTCACCATGGGAATCGCCCATAAGTATATCGGTTGCGATATAAAATTCAGCTTGAGGCCGACCCTATTCACGTCGGGGTCGATATATGCAGCGTGTCGACCTGCTCCGTAGTGGACCTCGGCAATCACAATTGCCAGTCCTACAAGAGACAGCAGCTAAGAGCCAGTCAACCTCCTATCCTCAACGGTGTTGCAATTATCTGTACCTACCATAGATGCGAGCATGATATAGTCCTAGAATAAATTAGCACGGTGACACTTCGAATGGGGAGGCTCGTCAACTATCTACTACGTACATCTATTCCCATGCTGTGAATCATTCGTAGGCGGACATACATCCTTGCGCAAACGACGATCAGCGCAGCTAGAGTCGTCGATACTACTGCCCCGGCGATCTGTGGACCACGATTCTCGTCGGGCTGGTCCGCGCCGGGTAGGGGAAGTAGAGCAGTCGACATGGTCGAAGTTGGGCGTAGATTTCCCAGCGGAAAATTTGGACGAAACTTATGCAAAGTTCGACACAAAACTACAAGTTCAGTGGCTCTCTCTGAGTGTATATAAGGATTCTCTATCTACCTGCCTTAGGTAAACCTATAGGCTATAGTATTATTTTCTAGGTAACACATATTTTGCTCTAGCTTATCTCCAACCCGGAGGCGTAATCCAGAATCACGAGAGTGCGCGAGGGTTTTCCTGTTGCATGAAGAAGCTCAATCTTGGCTCAGACCTCTTGACAGGGACCTGGGGTCGACAGCATGGCAAACCATGCGTGGGTAGCGTGTGGCCGGAGAGTTCGAATTTGGACTAACACCTCGGCGCCGGCCCCTTAAAGACTGGGGGGGCACTAAAACGACGGCGTGCGTACGGGAAAAGGCGCTAGCATAAGGGACCGTCGCGCACCAACAGCTGTGCTAAGACGACGCTTGCATTATATAAGTATTATGCTACGCACATAAATGTCCCGGATTCCGAGAGAGCCCTGCAGAGCCGTGGCGAGTCGCATTTTGCCCTGCAACCTCGTGTGGTCCCTAATTTTATTATGGCATGAGGCGTTGTTTGTCTTCACGACGACGGCATTATATCTCATTTTAGAAGATTTATGGTGTTGAGGATATATTATCGTAGTCAGATGAAGATTCGCTAAGGTATCAAAGTCTCTGGTAAGATTTGTCGAGGTTTGAAGATTACCTACTTCCTATACCTACCTAATAATAGTTATCCTGAGATTTAGTATTCTAGGTGTGCGCTTAAAGAGTAAAACCGGTTTTGACAGAATCGCCAACTGACTTGGGTTGACCTCAGATATATTAGTAAATAAACCAAAAGTTCTTACGGTCCGAGCTGGTCACGGCCCGACCTTGTTCGTGTTTGTTCTGCCAACCTTTTTCAGGTACATTTCGGCCTAGTCCGCTAATGGTAAGTGAGTCCGGAGGGGACTAGTGAATATCGACCGGACTAATTCCATGGTGTTGGATTGTAAGTGTCAGGGCACCCGGGGCTGATCCCCAATCCGACTGGCTTTTATCAGAGGACGGAAAGGTCAGGTTTCGCCTGACGTACGTCCGTCTTCGCAGGATAATAGCGCGCTCCGCCAATATCGTGAAAGCTAAGGTCTGCAGTGATCTAGACTATTGTATGTTAAGATCAAATCATATTCCAATATACCTGCATGACTAAAATGCGTTAGGTCGACCTCTTCAGGGGAAAGCTGTTGGTCTTTTTATGAATGCGGCGGAGTGGTTCTTGATAAAGGAGGGGCCGAAAGGAGACTAAAGAATATCTATATAATCGTAGATCTTTGCCCACGATCGAACATCATGATCGCCTGTGCCCGTCGTGATCGTCTCCAAGTAGATCATAAAATTAATTCTCCGTGTACAATACCTAATACGTATCCGACTACCCAGAGACTAGCTTATTCTAATCTCCCGTTCCTCAGCTAGACTCAAATAGCTCCCTGCAGCCAACATGCATATTCCTCGCTTTACGTCCGCTCTACTGCTCGCCAGAGCCGTAGCAGCAGCCCCGACCGCTGGCACAACCTGCGATTCATCACTCGCCGAGTTAAATGACCTCGTCAAACAGGCGATTTCAACGCAGGAAGGTATCCTAAACGACAGAACCGCTGCGGCCAATCAAACGGGACAGACGTGCACTCGTGATAATCTCACCGTGCGTCGCCCATGGTATGTGATGCAGCAATTCCTCTCAACTATTTCGAAGCTAATTCTTTTATTTAGGGGCTCATTAAGTAAACCAGAGCGCAAGGCTTATACTGATGCCGTACTTGTACGTACTACGAATTTTTCTTTCTCTTTTTCTTTTTCTTTTTCTTTTTTCCTTTTTGGGCCGGTCTCAGGGGCTGTGAAATGCCCAGCCGATTAGAAGAGCCCCACGCATCCAAGATCGATTGAACGTTGTTTAATAGATCGCTAAAATTATTTATATTCCAACACTAACTAACTCTTTCGTTAATTTTAGTGCCTACAATCGTTGCCGGCGAAGACTCCTGCTAGCGTAGCTCCTGGCGCCAAATCGCGGTACGACGACTTCGTAGCTACTCACATCATCCAGACCCAAACAATCCACTACACGGTATGTTTACTCCACTCGGGCAGAAGCTAGCTACCTAGTTAAAGGGCTTGGCTAATACTAGTCGGCGATCTATCAGGGAACCTTCTTAGCTTGGCATCGATGGTTCGTGTATAATTTCGAGCAGGCACTGAAGAATGAGTGCGGTTACACTGGTTCCCAACCGTAAGTTTGCCCTTCGGAAAGAGAAAAAATGAAAATGAAAATGAAAATGAAAAAAGTAAAAAGTAAAAAGTAAAAAGTAAAAAGGAAAAAGAAAAAAGAAAAAGAAATAAAAAAGGATCTCCCCACTAACATACAACTTCCATGTAGGTACTGGAACTGGGCTCTGTACGCCAACGACCCCGCCTCGTCGCCGATCTTCGACGGTAGCGCGTACAGCATGTCCGGCAACGGCGCGCCGATCGCCGACAAGGGCCCGATCACGCTGCTGCTGGGTGACTTTGCGCCGATCGAGCTGCCGGCGGGCACGGGCGGCGGGTGCGTGACGTCGGGCCCGTTCAAGGACATGCAGGTGAACCTGGGGCCGGTGAGCCTGCCGCTGAACAACGGGACGGTGGTGACGGGCACCGGGCTCGAGCACAACCCGCGGTGCCTGAAGCGCGACATCTCCGCGGGCGTGAACGCCGCCTACGCCAACGCCACCTCCGTCGTCAACCTCATCCGCCAGCACGACAACATCGGCGACTTCCAGATGGTCATGCAGGGCGTGCCCGGCTCCGGCTCCATCGGCGTGCACGGCGGCGGCCACTACACCATCGGCGGGGACCCGGCCGACGACGTGTTCACGTCGCCCGGCGAGCCCGTGTTCTACCTGCACCACGGCATGATCGACCTCGTGTGGTGGACGTGGCAGTCGCTCGACTACAGCAACCGCCGGGACGCCGTCTCCGGAACCGGCACCTTCCTGAACAGCCCGCCGTCCCCCGACACGACCCTGGACGACATCGTGGATCTCGGGTACGCCGGCGGCGGCCAGATTACCATGAGGGAGTTGATGAGCATCCAGGACGGACCGTTCTGCTACACGTATAGCTTATAAGCGGGGCGGTAGAGGACGATGATCAAGTTGTCGCCGAAGAAAGGCGTATCCGAAGTCGCGAGCAGCTTATCGGCGCGAGTAATGGCCTACCAATTATAGATGTAATTTAATCGATTAAATAGCAATTTGCAAGCAATATAGAATAGTAATCAAGAGTTAGTTTGAAGTATAATGGTCTAGGAACCGATTGTCTGCGTCCGCCTAACGCTTATCTCCCTATGCAGTTCCGGGGTGAAAGCCGGAAAAAGGACTGTTCTTAGCTCCATTATGACTACCGCGACTCTGATAAAGACTGCATAGATTCCCCCATAGTGACATAGAAAGGGCATCATTTTTAACTGAACAATAGTTGTCGGAGTCATTACTTCATGGAGAGATCATTTGCATAACTTAGGAGGTACCTAGCCCCATTAGAATTTCGTTTAACAAGTTGCCGGAAAGGGGCCAATGCGGCTGGTAAAACCATTATTAGACACCGATAGAGAGTTACGATGTACAGCCAAGAGTAACACTATCACTGAAACCTTTCCTATACTCTGTAGGTTTACATCCTGTAACTGGGTTTACATCAGGTTTTCTAAACTTAGTATAAAGGCTAGGTAACAGACGCGGAGCCACAAGTCTGAAACTCTACCCGGTTTTGGCAGCCTGAGCAGCGCCGTCGTCCCCCTGCGAAGACGTCGTCGACGCCACGACATGCCTCCGTCTCAAATGCCCCGCCTCGTCGTGCTCCTCGTCCCACTTGTCCACTTCGCCCAGGGGCACCTTAACCAACCGGTGAATCGTGGTGCCGTCGTCGTCTAAATTGACAATCTCGGGCCGGATATTGTACCCTCCCCACCTCGGCAGCGCGTATATCCAGACGACGTAGTAGATCGCGCACACGATGATGATGGCGATGCCCACGACGCAGTACGTCGCGTACCAGAACGACACCTCGCCGGCGTACGGCCCGCCCTTTGGGGGGATCCACGGCGTCGCCAGGATGTACACCTGCAGCAGGATGTAGAAGATGAGAACCACGTCCCAGGTGCGGAAGTCTGGCGCTTTCCTGCCTAATCTTTTTTGTCTGTACCGTACGATGTATACGCCGATAGCGAGAGCAAGATGGAAGATTCCGTCCGGATAGGTTCCCAGGCTCACGACTTTGCCGATGTTAGTGATAAATAAATTACCAAGGTAAGGGGGTCTGTGGAAATCGAAATGCTAGGCAAACATACCAAACTGGAAAGCATCGCCAGCGGGAGGAGCGACAATCATAATAAATGTCATGAGCCATTTCAAAAAGTACGGACCGAACGGAGTACCGAAGGGCTTCGTAGAAACCCAGAAATTAGTGAATGGGAGAACACCTTGTCTATTTTCGAGTTCCGTCATCAGCAAATGTAAATAGAATGTCAGGTACCTAGGGGGAAAAATCACTTACCGGCCAATTTCACGGATCACTCGGGACTGGCTGATCAACACGGCGAGCAGATTCGCGAATGCACTCAGTAAAACCAAAACGCTCAGAGCCTGGTTCGCGCGACCCCTTCCAAACACCGACACGAAGAATACGGCCGCGGCGATTTCTTTCGATTTAGCGAATTCCTCCTTCGATACTACAAGTAACCCTTAATTAGCGTCTATTCTTGAAATAGGCGGCTTGTTCGGTCTTACCAGCAGAAAAGTACGCGATGTTACAGAGCATGTACAGCACACCGACGACCAGGATCGAGATGGTTCCGTTCCTCTTCAGCGTCGGAATGGGATTCTTAATCTCATTGACGACGTTGAAGGCGTTCGAGAACCCGGTATACGTAAACACAATGTTAACTAGAGCAACCGCCAGATCGTTTCCGTTGGTCGTCGTGCCCTCGAACGCATTTCGGAAGTTCGCGCCCGGGTCGGGGATGTGAGGGACGTTTCCGCCCAAGACTACGAAACCGGTTATGCTGATGCTGTAGTCGAGGTTCCGTTAATTCCTATGCGCTTTTTTTCTTTCTTTTATTGAAAAGCCCATACGTACAAGATAAGAGTAACAATTTTAACGACACCAAGCAAGTTCATCAGCCATAGCGAGTATTTGTTGTGAAGAATCACACCTGCGCATATTCGTTAGCCCATCAAAAACTAATTCGGGTAAGAGGAGCCATACATAAGCTTGCTACGGTGTAAGCAGCGATGGCAACACCTTTCAACTGCCAGTCCGTCGGTGTTGAGCCGGCAATCTGGTACACATATCGCGCCAAGACTAAAATAAGAATTGGTTAAGGCCCTTTACTGACGCATAGATCATGAGGCATACGAACCGATGGCGTTGCTGCTGCTGAAACTAAGGATAACCGAGTAGACGGCGAATGTGACGGGGAAGAAATGCTTCGGTCTGGGGTACTGTTGTTCTAGGTACACGACTTCAGAACCCGAACGGTTCGGAAAGTAGCTCGCGAGCTCAAGATAGACGGCAAAGCCTGCGATAGCTAACAACAGACCAATCGTCCAGTAGATAAGAGAAAGCCCGACGGAACCGGTGGTGTTAAGAACTGTTCCGGCTACGAGGAAATTAACTATTTGTTCTCCTTCCATTTACCTAGCTAAGTTTTAAGATGGCGAGTGTCTTACGCGTTGAGAAAATTCCAGTTCCGATCATTTGGTTGACGTTGAGAAAGATGACGGTTACCCATCCGACGTGGTAACCCAGCGGCGACTTGGATTCGACAGGAGCGCCAGCCGCCTCTTGGTAAGATGGTTTAGATCCATTTCCCGCTTTCTCCAGAGTATACGCAAGGTCGCCGTCGCGAATGACCGAGACGTCGGAGCTGGATGGATGGCCATCAACCGCCGGCACCTCAGTCGTGGCGGAACGCGCCCAAAATTTCGGAATCCCCATCACCGCAGATAGCTCATCCGCCACACTTTAGCTATGAGGAATGAAGATGGAAGAAGTCACCAACAATTGACCTAAAATATTAGGAATCGTCTTGTGGTGCGGGGAACAAGAGGGCAAGAAAGCGATTAAGACCGCGACGGGACGTATTTATCGCGCCAACGGGACCGTGGGTTATTAACGAGAGAGCAGATTTGCGCCGGGGCGTATTCTTTCGTACGAAATCGCTGGGCTTGATGATACAATCGGTCCTTGGAGCACACCCCCACAAGCGTCTAGAACATATTTGGGGACATCAGCCCGATCAGTCGAACCGTGTAACGCGATCTAAATGGCAGGTAAAGCCATATCCAGACGGTCATCTCAGACGGCTTTGGAGACTGGATAAGATCCGTACGGGAACCTTCCTAGGTGAGAGGGGCCGAGAATCACGCAATACTGGCTGAACATGACAACCATGCCGGTCATGGGCCCGATGCTACAGAACAATCCTGGAACGGTTGAATTACGCTCGAAGGCAAACAAGAATTCAGGTAATTAAAACAAAGAATCGTACGCCATGCGAATCCTTACATGGGCTAGAGCGTTGGTAGCGCTTAGAAAACGTGGGTGCGTATGTTTTGGTAACGAGTCTCGGTCGCCGTATTGAAGCCAAAGCATTCCGACGTTCCCAAATTATTTCGATGACCACCTGGGTACGGAGGAAGACCTTTATTGGGTGTATCATTTTCAGCTACACGATATGTACGCCAAGTGATACCAAGTATGCCGCCGAGTCTCTCGAATAGCAGACTTGTTGGCTGTATTGATACGGGATTGTATTTGCAACATGGCACAAATCTCATTTTGCGTTACCTTTCAATTTAATCCTCGGAGTTTGAATAAAAGCCGACGGAAACCGAATTTCACCATACTATTGGTCGTATGCCGGCGTGTGTTTAATCTTGCTGGTTTATATAGATATACCGGTGTTGGAGTTTGTCTCAGCCAAGATCATCCACCCACTCGACCACTCTTATTACCTGCAGTTCGAATATAGGGTTCCAGCGGCAGAACTTCAGATTCTGGCGCTCTATCATCATAAAGTAAAGCCCATCTCTCTTTCAGCACATCCGGCGTTTCCCATGCATTCTCGGGGTCACGTAGCCAGAAGCGTAACAGATGTCGCCTATGAACATGTTCAGCTCTGTGTGCCAATTTATGTGCTATACTTGTCTGTATAATGGATAGGGTCGACTTACTGCTTATCGCCTTCGTTCTTAAACCCGTCCCGAGCGTGGAACAAAGCTAAGTTGTTGACATACTGGATATCACCCTTCTGGAAATATGTGTCGACGCAGAATTTCTCTCCAAGGAAGTGTAATGTGTCTAAGGCTTCCGCCTGGGCTTCGGTGATGGGTGGGATATTTGGACTTCGAGGCAGAGCACCAAACCCGACGAATGATCGACGAGCATACTGTAGAATCACACGTTCCGGTGTCGATTCAGTAGCCGGTTGATAGTGCATGATAGGTCTTGACGTATATGGTTGTTCATGATTACCGAAGCTGAAAATTGTCCATGTTAGCTATTTTAGACTTATTTATTACCCTATTTGAAGAAAACATACTTCTCCGGATTCCAATTCTCCGTCAATGTGTGAATAAGATCAGGGCGGGTACGAGCGATCTCGTTATATACTCGCCATGTGCTCGCAAGCTTACTTGCGCCGCCTTCGGCAGCGGTTTCGAGGGCGAATAGAGAAACGATATCACCGGAATCCGTATGAAATACCTGCTTGTCGGTAGTAAAAGCCGGGCTACCGATTATTTCGCTACGGCCGGGACCACTCAGGTCTTTGATATGAGACAGCGTGACGGCCGCAGGCTTGTCTTCATACTTGCTGTCCTGGCGACCCCGTTTAGGCGCAATATGCGCCGATAGTCCCGCATAAATGATTATATTCTCTTCCCGACTATACTTGTCGACGGGGACACCTCGAATTACGAAAAAGCCATGTCCATTATGGAGCTCATCAGATAATTTCCGTAGCTCAGAATGCAGCTTCGGCAGCGGAAAGGTCTCCTGGCTCACGTAGCCGAGGGGTAAGTCAAGGGCTGGGGAACGTCGTTAGCCTGGATTCTAAGACGGTTTCCGCTGTCGCTCACATTTGAAATGTTTCACGGCGATGTCTATTTCATCAAGTTGATCCTGCTTGAGCACATATGTCCAATCGTACTCTTTCGCAAGCGAGTCACCCTCCCATACGAGCTTTCCAGTTAGCTGTTTGGGCAGTCCTTTAGGAAGTTCCGTTGGCAAGCCTCCGGACTTGATTCGACCATCTCTTCGGGCTTCATATTTCCTAAAGTCTGGTGCATATGAGATGTCGGGCTGCCCTGGGGGCTTCACAGCCGCAGGGGTAACATAAGTAACGGTCGCCATAACATTTGGATTGATCCCCTCGTAATCACAAGCGGAGTTGGACTAGGCTCCTACTTGCATCTTTATGTTCGGTCAACAAGACTTGGAAATAGGCCCGCGAACATCGATGGCGCAATTTGGAGCAATTATCACCCATCGCATCGCACGCGTCCACGCTGCATTTTCCCCGTCTATGTCGGATCAATGGACGGTTGTAGAGTGCATTACATCTTCTGAGACGTAACATGCATTTGCATTTTATTTCGATTGTATCTGCATCTATTGAGGGGAATCTAACGGCCGAAGTTGCGTATCATCAGGTACTCGACTGTTTTCGTTGTCATTTAACGCCGAACCCTCGGTTTAGAATGGCTTTTGTTTGATGATGAAATTCAGGGCTTTCAGGTTGACGGAATGGATATCCTCTTTAGTTGCTAGTCACTACCTAGCGTATCCGGAGTTCATATTTTATATCCTTAAATGAGGGCTATTAAGATTAATTGTTTATGAGTATAGAAGTTGAAGTTGTAATACCTAAGATGCTGTGTTTGAATTATGAAGCGGATTTCATAACCTTTTTTCTCGGCTATTAATCGATAACAGACCGGCGTTAGCGGTGTCATACCCACTGAGCTGGTAACGCCTACCGCCATCCATCACCCGTCATAGCGCCATTAGCCATTTCATTTCTTACAACTTTTCCCGAATAATGTTAACTTAACGGCCACCACCAAGATTCCTTCGTGCTTCTCCGAGGAAATTAGCGGTGGAATGGTATTTCGCGACGCCGACAATCTGGATACCAGGAAAAAAAAAAAAAAAAAAAAGCTCTTTATTCTTATTTTGGCTCTTTGCGTTCGCCAAATTTTACTCAGGAGTCGCAATGGCACAGTGCACAAGCAGGCCAAGTTTTCGAGATAGCAAAAAATGCACGAAGATACCTACATATAGGTATCTCATGTGAGGTAAGTAATACTTAATAATTAGTTCCTAGGTAGTACGGAACTTCCTACAAACAGGCTCGAAAAGGGTATATCAACAACCAAAACCGCCCAAGCCTCCCAATTCCGCTTTTGACGCTGTACCGTCCAACGTGACATTTTGGTCGATAAACCAACCAATGGGGTTAGCAAACCAGCAAACGTATTAAATCAACTGTCGTCCCGAGTTTCTTCCGAGCAAGTTGATTAGCTAGCTCGGTGTTCATGGGGTTTGCACTATGGCCGTTCCCAAAACTTTCTATATCCGCTCGAGGCTTCGCGCGCCGTGCACGCGCCGGCTCGGACCATCTCCGCCGCGATATCGCCGATTCTGCGGCTGTGGATTCAATCGTTCATGACCCTCTGGTGGATGGCGTTCTTGGTGACGTACGGAACCCGCTCCAATTCATGAGCTGGGAGTGCATGGCGTCGAAATCTGCTATTCGCGCGTGTCGCGGATCCAGCTTCTTGGCATCGAGGTAGCGCTGGGTCATGGCCATGGTCCAATCCGGAGAGGCCTTGCAGCCGGCGCAGAGGCCGGGGACGAAAGACAGCTTGCTCCGAGGGCAGTGGGTATTTTGGATAGCTAGCCTGTCGCACATTTTGTACTTTTTGTAGTCTGGACAGGATTCGAAGATAGTCATCGAGACGTCGTGGCCGCAAGGGGCTAGATATTTCCGCCATTCCTTACACATCTTAGCAGTAATGATGATGATGTATTGCAGTAATTAGCTAACGCCTGTTTATCCGCTGAACTTTTTGAGGTGATTGATTTGCTGGGAGGGCTGTTACTGGAAGAGTTGAATGGAGTAGTTGGTATATTTTGGCGTTCTGCATATCCAGAGACAGGTTCAAGAATAGCCATTATATATGGAAGCAAGTCTGGCCATGGCTATCTGGGGGTTAACATTGACACAGTTAGCAACTGATGGTGTTCTTATACTAGGAACTCTGCGCTCCTGAGTTGCTGCAGAATTATACTGTGAATGGGTGATAGAAACACAGGGGGTGAGTTGACACTGAGGCATGGGATGGTGGTACGGGAAGACGGATAATTAATCCATTTGAACCCAAGTTGGTCGGTTTGGCGAATCGTGGCAAAGATGTCACTAGCACAAATCTTCTTCTGACAACCATTAGTTATCTCTTAAGACAGGTAAGTTTAGGCTCTACGTAGGAGATACAATACGTGTAAGTTCGTATTCAGTAGTACAAAATGAATGTCATTAATATTTGATAGCCTGAGTTATAGTCATACTTATAGAATTATATAACTACCTCCTAAACTACTGACAAGGACTCTAATCTCGGAAAGCGACCTACTAATTGTTAATTCATAAGCTCAACTTTGGTTAAAGCTAACCATGAGAAACGTTGTATATTATGCGGCTGGAGAGTGAGATTATATAACATCTGATCATATTAAATGTGTATGAGATGGAACATAGCCATCAAAGCTAGGGTGACTTCTGTTTGACTTATTTCTACGAGTCCGGGGTTATGCTGAGAATTACTGGAAATGGCCCAGTATAAGAGAACTTCACTGTACAAATATCGAATCACTCGACCAATAATGGTAGGAGATAGGAAGTTCCAATTGGTTTTTTTTTCCCTGCTTCTATTAGCCCATTCTCGTAAAGCGCGAGGTTGCTGCATCCGTTGATAATTCGACCGGATTGGTTGATTTCATTTTCGATATAAGTCCAGATCTTGCTAGGAACGTTGCGTTTGCTGAGAATTTTATTCATACTCTGCCACTCTTCCACATAATCTCCCATTAAATGATTTTTTAGACGACGACATCTATCTATTCTGACATTTCAAGTGAGAGACCTCAAAAGGGAGAATTATGCTATGACGTAAGGGTATGATTTAGTGGTCCATGGATCAGGGACGATCATTACAACGATCCGGGATCCTGCGCAACGAACAAAATGGGATCCGTGCCATTGACATCACATGTTTGATTAATAGACATAAAACTACGACTAGTTATCTACTTTCTTACGTTAGGTTAGGAAGATTCATTAACTTTTCAAATCGTTCCAATTCAATTGAATATCGCCATAATACCACCCTGTTTACACAACGCGTCAACGCGCGCAAGCACCGGAGACCAAGGCGACATGCCCTCCAGCAGCAGCAACAGCGCGACCGCGACTTCAAGGGCTACCACCGCGCGAGGACGCAAGAGAAAGTCCGACGATTCGCGGTCGTTCGGTAGACCCAAGCGGGCGAAACAAGGCGACTCGTTTATCGCCGACGGTATCGAAGAAGTTCCCAACGAGGCGGGCAAACCGCGGCTCACCACGCCGGATCTGGAGTTCGACTACTACCGCAGCCAGCTGCGCGACCCGCGCCCCACACCGGGACGCGTGAAGCGGCCGCGCTGGAGACAGTTCGACTTGCCGGACGATATCAAGGAGCGGTTCTACATCCCCCGGCTGGTGAAGCCGAAGGGGAGGCTGGATGCCTTCGAGAAACACTGCCTGTTTGAGGCGAAAATGCTCATGGACCCTAGCGCGTCGTTTCACGATTTGTATGTATGCCACAAAAAGGGCCGCTAGGGCTCGCCTACCTACGACTGTGCTGGCTTCCAGTTGGACTGGGACAAGGTGGACGATTGGATGAAGCCGGAACCGTACTCCAAAAAGAAAGCGGTGAGCAGGATGGAGAAAGTGGTAGACAAGAGAAAGCGGGAGGAGCGCGAAATGTACGATAATTTCTTCCTCGACGGCAAAGCCCCGGACGCGGAACCAACCATCGTTACCGAGTATCTCAAAGACCACGTCTCGAAGGATCTCGGCGTCCCCTGGCATCAGATCGGCCCCAAGTATGTGGCTGAATGGGCGGAGAAAGGGTTCCCAAAGCAGAAGGCTGAGGAGTGGTGGCGAGAACCGAACGAGACCGAGAGACGTAGGATGTCAAAGATGGCGTCCGGTTGTGTACTAAGAAAAGATCTCTAAATGGACATGTGTAATGGATGGGCTGATATTTATTTTATTGCATCGGAATTATATACAATTCTATACTACTCCTATCAACTTCTACGGCTGCGCGCAGTTCGGCGTCCAATCAATCTACAATCACATTAGCCAAACTCGCCCCTCTCGACTCTCATTCATTTCATTTCAAGAAGAAAGGAAGAAGGAAAGAAAGAAAAGAAGAACTTACGATGCTCGGATCAATCTTCTTCAGATCCGTGACGCCCGCGTTCGCCGCGTCGATGGCGATCTCGTGCTTGAGCATGTCGATGGCGCGCTTGACCCCGTCGGTGCCGTACACGTTCGCGTACATGAACGGGCGGCCGAGCCCGACGGCCTTCACGCCCAGCGCCAGCAGCTTCACCACGTCGGCGCCGTACCGCACCCCGCCGTCCGCGTACACCTCCAGCTGCGAGAATACCTCCGGCGCCTGCTCGTGGATCTCGATCGCCACCTCGAGGGGCGAGCGCGCACCGTCGATTTGCCGGCCTCCGTGGTTGGAGAGGTAGACTGGTGGGCAATGTTAGGATTTTGTATTTTCTTTCTAAAAAAAAAAAGGAAAGGAAAAAAAGAGGGCTTGGGTGTGCTACGTACTTGCAGGAACCTTGTGCTCGACAGCCTTCTGCGCGTCTTCCACCGTCTGGATGCCCTTCAACACGATCGGGAGGTCCGTCAGCGTGCGGAGATGGTCGTAAAAGTCCCACTGTGAAAATCAGTCAAGGTGCCCACCCAGGTTCTCGCCATCAGGTCTTCCGACCCGGCTAGGGAGGGTATTTTTGCTTACGGTAATCAATGTGTAAGCGGAGTCACTAGAAAGCAACGTTAGCACCGTACGCGTGGCACAGGAAGCTACCTGACATAACCAAAGGTAGATGGGAAAACGGGGTAAAAGCTTACGCAGAACCGACGCCGTACCGCGCCGCGCGGTGGCGGTTCCCGTCCGCGGCCGAGTCCACGGTAAAGACTATGGCCTTGCTTCCGGACTTCTCGGCGCGCGCGAACACCTCCTTGGTCGCCGTGTCGTTCGCGTCCAGGTACACCTGCTGGAAGGTGACCTGGTCCTCCTTCTTGAAGGTCGCGATCTCCTCGATCGTCAAGCTGGCTAGCTGGGCCGGCTTTACGAAAATCGGTAAATGTTAGCATGGGGAGACGGTTTACAACGATGGGGAGATTGGGCTGGAAAGACAAGAAAGAAAAAAAAAAAAAAGACGAGGTCGTACCATGTATAGGATATCACCGGCGGCAGCGCCTTCGACGAGCCCCTTCTCGCCGTCGGTGTTGCCGTAGCCTCCGCGAGCAGCCGGGCTAATGAAGAACGGCGCGGAAAAGTTGTGGCCAAGGATCGTAGTGCTATATCCCCGTTATTAGTATAATTGTCACTGAGCGAGGCATGGATTAGGGGTTGGTCGTACGGGAGTGTCGACTCGATATTAGTGATATCTACCATAGTCCTTGGCCGAAGCTTGTAGCGGTTGTAAACCTCGAGATTGTTCCGGTATGACCACTCGCCACCGGCGCCATTGCGGTAGTAGGTGTAGTTCTGCTTCGGAAGATATCTTCTCGCTGCTGCGTCGAAATCTGGCAGTCCGACGAGCTTTTCGAGAGGTGGTAGTTCGCCGGCCGGTAGATCGGCGAAATACTCGTCGAAACTGTTCCCGTGTAAGCAACTTTTTTGCCATCCAAATATCATTCAAGAGTGAAACTCGGTAGCGCTCACCCAGTATCAGGCTCGTTGAGAAACGGGCGTGCTGCCAAGACTCCGCTGAGGACGGAGAGGGAAAGGAGTGCTGAGCGCATCGTGAGATAATAATGCCTAACGAACGAGCGACAAGAAGCAAAGAGAATGTTAAAAGACTTTTCTCTATCTTATAGAAGTAATATTTTCTGAGACCTCGTGGGTGGTGATGATCCTTCCATCTTATAGGAAACTCTAACGGGCACTTTATACTCGCCCGCCAAGCCCAAGGAATTGCTTTCATAATAGTTATAGAAGGTCTAAGACGGCACAGTTCATCTTACCTCACAGAGTTAGCTCGCGCGGCTTCTCTGTCTGCATTAGGTCTTAACCTTAGTTCGAAGTTTGTATTATCTCAGGATTATCTGATCGTTCCATTCCTATCGCGGACTAGGATTGCGGCTACAGCGTCGTCCTTTTTGACGCGATGTTCCTCGGTGCATTGCCTAGTATACGCTATTCTGGGGACTCACCGGAGATTTCACGTGGGTAAAAGGACAAGTCCGTTTAGTTGGTGGGTTCGGTCCGTTGGTGAAGCTGATAGAGGAAGCTAATTTGACATCTGCCAATGCGAGGAACCAGCGGGTACCTGATCCATTAACGAGAGAAGCCGAATCGACGCCTTACTCTACCCGGTCAGTGGAGACGACGGTGTTTAACATGCCGTTCTAGATTTATTACTTCACTCCGAAGGACCTCAGCATATGCGATAAGGTGAGCGAATTAGATGTTTCATTGGATGACGATGGATTAGATCCCAAACCTTCCATAAGATATCTTTTCGTGGGCCTCTAGCATTCCTAAGCAACCCGTCAATGGATACGATTCTGTGGGCCTTTGTGAGCTATTGCTTACGGATAAGGTGAGGTAGATGAAAGGTGTAGATGAAAAAAGTTTAGATAGGATGAAACATACGATAATTACCTCTAGGGACCTACCTAGAGGAAGAAGACACGGAACAGGGATTCGCTGACCCTAACACTATACTATATTCTCTCTTTCAGTCTTATCGAATGCTAGATTAATATGTTAACAAAAGATGACAAGAAGATATAATTCTCGTAAGCTTCGAATTCTACTGTAAGGCTACTAACTCAGTCAATCCATGTCTATATCAGCCCTCCATATGAAATGACATGACCGGGAGTTTCTGTTGTCTTTCAGCTTGAGATGCCAAACGTCTTGCATTAAGACAGGGCACATCCACTTAAGAGAGCTTTTTTTTTTAGATCTCCGTCCCTTGTTGTAAATGGTTCGGCCCAGAATTGGCACCCATGTCCCTGTGGAAACTTAATGTAATTGTTCCCATAAGAGGAAGAAGGCCGCCAGAAGTCCCGCATGGATTGTCTTCCATTTGGTGGTTATGTAAGGATACTGCTTGAATACTGCTTACAGATCATATGCTAATACTATTTACGTAAATTCGACGCCGCACTCCTAAACGGATACTGCGCTTTAATAGGTTAGGTAGGAAAACGGGCAGTAATTAAGCTAGGTTACCAAGTTTAAAACGCTAATTGGAGGTTATTCCGACATTTGTCACATGCTAGAAAAGGGGAAGAAAAAAAGATGAAACTTTATGAAACTTTATAAATGTTGGAAAATACTTTAGAACGCGTAGAAATAACACCTATTTAGAAGTACTTCGGATCGTACCTTTAGTTTTACCCGTTTCTTTAATTAAAATGCAGCACCTCTTTAGGGGTGCGTTGTCGAGTTTACGTAGGTGGACAACACTTGTAATACAACTTGGAGATGCGCATACGTCTATCATCACTGGATTAACAGACCGAGTGTTTCTATTGAAGGTATTAAAAGGTCGTTTCTGCCAAGGCTCCAGGAATACGGATTCGGAGCACATCATCTAAAGGAAAGTTGTTCACTTTCCAAAACCAGCTAAAGTTTCATCGCGGCCAACGATCCGCTCATAAAAAAAAAATTTACCATGCGAAGCCTTCGTTATGCCACCAGACGTTTCTACCTTTATTTACCCAGGCTCCGACATAGGATCTCAACTCACGACCCATTTCCTCGGGTCCGCATACTAACACGGCGACCCGTTCCTCAAGCCCTTGACGAAGAAAGTCATCCACAATTTGACGTAGGTCGGGCCGTTTATGAATCTGCCTTACGTTAGGGTACGAAGTATTATCTAACTCGACCGCTTCTCGCAGAGTGGGGTCTCGTGGAATGGCCCGAGTCAAGAACAGCTGTATGTTGTCGTCAAGGGAATCGTCCCCATTCTCAAGAGGCCAAGACGCATCAGCAGCCCCGCGTACTGCCCAGACCATCTGTACCCGGGCTGCTGGATTTTCATTTATGATATATCCTATAATATGTTAATATCTTGTGGAAGTATATCGATTTACCCCTTTCATGAGTATCTAAGTCCAATATTGTCCATTGGACGCTGAAAGGTCATGTTAAGAAGGCACTAATTACTTACTATATTCAGGTCAGCATTTGTAAGAACGATTTATTAAGCAAATCATGGGAAGCGTGAACGAACCTAGATATGGGCAAAATAAATGTAGAACCAACCCCACCGGCGACTAGCAGGATGCGGTCAAATTCTGGGCCAGCTAGGTTTGGGAACCACGTCGCGCATCCGTAAGGGCCATCTATGCATAGTGGCACTTTGGTGCTAGCCGAGTCGTCTTCCGCAAATTGGGCCAAAGCCTTGGTCATAGGTCCTCTCTGACGTCTTGCGACCAAAGTAAGCTCTCCTGTCTTTTCGTCTACCGATGCGATAGTGAACGGGTTAAAAGTGAACTCGAATAGAAGGTGTGAGCTTCGGCGAGAAGAAAAAGGAATCGTTAAATATACGTGCATTCCGGCGTACTTGCGGAAGCGGTCGAGTTTCGAAGAGGGGAGACTAGCTACTATCTTGATCAAGCTCGTATCAGGAATAAGCTCTAAAGTTGATGGCGCGGTGATCGTGCCGATCTTGCGCGTAATGAGGTCGATAAAGAAAAATACTAATGGCTCAATCACATATTGCCGACCTCCGTGATGAGAGTGGAAAAAGATAGCTGGTGGAAGTAGCAGCGCTACCATGAGGTGCGTGATGAAGAAGACACGGTACGAGTAGGTACGGACGAGTTTAAGGGCCGTGGCAGATAGCAAGCTCATACCAATGATGGAGCCAAGTCCAAGGGCGGGGATGGGGCGAACAATCCTCTCAGATAGAATGCCTTCATGGACATAAAAATTTAGATATAAACCCGCGTGGACGAGGAGCATGGAGTAGATAATCCCGCCGAGAACACGATGCCATCGGTTGAGTTGCTCATGGGAAGACCCGAACGCGAAGGCGACAGGGTTGAGACTCTTCAGTATTAACAAGTATTGTAGTGGAAGTTGAGAAATAGCAACAATCCCAAACCGCTTCGTGAGGTGAAGATAATCTACAATAAAATTAGCTTTGCCGACACTTGGGTTGGGGGGGACATAGTAATCTGATTGGTTAAGACTATAAATGAATGAATGATACGGCAAATTATCTAAATTGTGATTGCGCTGAAGAAGATGCCGAATGAATATCCGCCAGAGTAGACTTACCATTTCCAGTACCGACGAAACATAAGAACATGAGCCATATCGACCATAAAGAGCCGAAGATTATTTCGTCCCTTTGTCCTAAGTTGAATCCTAGAACGACCACATCGTCGCCGAGCCACCATGCGATACGCCGTGCCGTAATGCCCCAAGACCCGGCAGCACTTTGTCTCTCGTGCTTGAGTCCCGGAGAGCTCGGAACAGCTGAGTAAGATACGGGCTGGTAAGGGGACACCCGTTTGAATATGAAGACTCCCAGCTGGTACATAAGAGCCAGGCCTATAGGAATGAGAGCAGAGAGCTGGGCGTAAGCCGCATGACGGTCGAGGGATTGGCGCCGAGCGTGCTTCTGGGCGTCATCCAGCGCGAATATCTCATACGGCCAGCCCATTTTAAATCGGAAGGTAGCCGGGCTTGACCTCGGCTTTACCGGATTGATATTTCTCTCCCCCGTTAAGATGCACTTTTATTTCAAGTGGAAGTCTTTCCAAGATAAAATGGGAATGATGAATGCAATATTAACGGAATAAATCTTGGGGGATTCAATGGGTGAATCTCACCTGATTAAATACAGGAGATATACCTAAATGCCGATCCTCAAGATGTTAGGAAAATGATAGGTAAGAAGAGGAATATTTCGACCTGGTGGTGATGTGTCAGCTGGGTTTGAAAAGAGGCGCCGCGAAGTTGCGTGATCAGCCACAGTCGCACACGGATATTGAACGTAAGCCACACTTATGATATTATTCATCATCTGCCACTGAACCCCATTTCCCATTTCCCATGTACAACTTCTAATGTGATGTTGGTTATTGGCTTCCGTGATCAACAGATCGACGATTCTGCACAAAACGCCTTAAGCCACGGGATAACGCAATCGCATCGTCCTTACATTGAACGAATAAGAAATCCCATCGCTTTAACTTCCTCTGATCTTGTGGAGATATCCGCTCTATGTTCAATAATCGTGTTCCCGCTGTCCCGTTACCACTCCCGGCACTCTTGGCCTGCTATTGGCCTCGAGCAGAATCTGGAGCCACTTAGCGTCGCCGCAGCGCTGCATCAACCAACCAACACAACAGCCGGCTCCATCGAACCAGAACCAAAGCCCCTCCAAAAAAAGAAAAGAATGCACAATAATAATGGCTAATTAGCGGCCATCGTTCACATTCAGCACAGTCCTGAATCTCGAGATCCAGCACATCTCACACGGTTTGGTGGTCTAGTGGTATGATTCTCGCTTAGGGTACACCCTTTGCAATAGCATGCGAGAGGTCCCGGGTTCAATCCCCGGCCAAACCCTTTACTTTTGCTTTTTTCATAACCACATCGTGGTTTTCGTATCTCATCTTTTTTTTTTTTTTTCAATTTTGTTCAACGTGGGTGGGCGATGACAATAACATTAGACACATGTCCATGCGAAAAAGAAAAAACCAGGTAAGAAGCAAAATTTTAGCTTTGGACGCGTTAAAATTCTATCTAATCTATCCCCCATCGTCGCAAATGTGAACTGTTTTGGACCACTAACACGATAATTATCGGAGATGTTGGTTGGGTTTGGTATCAGTGATGAGCACAAATTATGTTGTGCGACAGATAATATATAGCTTTGCGCAATTTTTCGGGAATATATAAATCTAGATGGGCAATAGGTATATGAAAAGGCTTTCTCTCTGCATCATGATGGGACTGGCCGTGTTGACTATGCGCACTACGGTTTTATAGCGCATTTATGTAACTCGTTACCTCTAATGTAAATAATGTCCTACAAGTGAAATTAATTAGTAAGTTAATCAATCAGTCAACCAACATCATAAGAAGAGTCTGTGTGTTGATATAAGAAGTAAGTAAGTAACTTACCGTCATCCCCTCCCAGCCAAACCAGGTCAAGATCCAAGCCAACGTCGACATGGGCCCGCACCAAACTAAAGGCTTCACGGAACGCTTCAAGAGTTCGCCGACTACCTGCTTCGCATACGTCTCGGGATCTAAATAGCTGATCCGCTGCAACACTTTACCAATTGAGAATTAGCAATCGCTTCTCCCGGTATCCAATCCACCTAACACATAAGATCAAATTTGGCGATCTGCCTCGTCTAACTATAGAGTTCTAATGCAGAGAGGATTAGTGAGAAAGAAGGAGAGATGCGGATCACTCACTTTTCCGACTTTCGATAAACTCCCGTATCGGCTCATACGGGCTGCCCTCCGGCAACCTCGCCACGGGCGTGCTCGCGAACAGCCCCGTGCCGACGGCGCCCGTCTTGACGGTCACGACGCGGATCCCCAGGGGCGCTAGTTCCGGGCGGATGGTGCCTCCGAGGGCGTCGACGGCCGCCTTCGACGCGTTGTAGATGCCGAAGAAGGACGGCCTCACCTCGGCGTTCACGCTGCCGATATTCGCTACCAGTGCCGTCTCCTTCCCGTCGCCGTTCTTCTGCGCGGCCGCGGCCCCCGCCACCAGCAGCGGTAGGAACCCCTGCGTCACGGCGAACACGCCCATCACGTTGACGTCGAGGACGCGGCGGGCGGCGGCGACGTCCGCGTGCGCGAACGGCATGATGTGCAGCACGCCCGCGTTGTTGACCAGGACGTCCAGCGTGCCGCCGGTCAGCTTGGACACGTGCGACACGGCCCCGGCGATGGACTCCTGGGACGTGACGTCCAAGACCAGAGTCTCGATGCCGACGGCCTCGAGGTGGGTGGGTGGGTCCTCCGACGATGCGATGACGCGGTGCCCGCGCAGATGGAACTCTGTCGCGAGGGCCGAGCCGATGCCTCCCGGGCCGCAGCCGGTGATGAAGACGGTTTTTGGAGACATTGAGAGTGTTTTTTTTTTTTCGTGATCACCTTAGGAGGTATCTAGGTAGGTAAATAGCGTTATCTGCCCGTTATCCCGGATCAGTCGGGAAAAGACCTGGGGTTGAAGATGACGGTAATGGAAAAGAGAAAAGAGTGTAAGCCTATCGTTCAAAAGAGATATGGTCTAACTTGTTACCTCTGCATACGTACATGTAAGTAAAAACAGCGGAGTATCTGAAAAATGCCAATAACCTAATTTTATGTCATACTGTAATTATGTCTTCGAAAGACTGCGGGGTCCTATTAAGAAACCTACCTGGATTTGAGATACTATACCGGTGTACCATATGACAACCCGTGCACTTACCTAACTCATGTCAGCTTCTGAGATTTTCCAAAATCATGCATAATGTCAGATGCTTACCCGGGTGACTTCGACACCATAAGATAAGATCTATTTATATGTGCTGTGTGTATTGCACGTGGTAAAGATAGAGCCAGGTTTTATTTCTTGAGGTGCTAGTAAACCATGTATTTAGGTATTCACAATGGATTAATAAATTCCTACCCAGGTAGCCTTACGGTTCTACTACAATTAATTCGTTTATTAACTTATCAAAGTCTTAAAAGATGACTACTACCCAAGCACAAGACCTAGACACCACTATACCTCGTCACCCCTTCTCGCGAAATGCAACTCCCGAAGAAGATAAGCCACATCGTCATGTCCTCGCCGTTCCGCATAATCAAGAGCAGTATTGCCATTATCATCCTTCGCGTTGATGTCGAACGCGTCGTGCTTGTTTTCGAGAATGAAGCTTACGAATTCGAGGTCGACTTTAGGCCGCTGGCAAATCCAGTGGAAATACCCTCGTCCTCCTCCCCCGAGGTAACCCTGATTTAGCTCCGAGGCTAGGAAACGAGCAAGAAACATTTTGGTCTTGGAAGATCTCGACATGCCCTTGCATGAGGTCAAGAAAGCCGCCTCGATCCCCTTAAAGTCGCCCCGCGCGTTGAGAACCTTCACCAAGGCTTCCGTGACCGCGAGCATCCCATCGTTGTCGGCTGTCCTCCGCAACCCGCTTTGCGGCCATCTGCTATTGTCGCCCGAGGCAAGATGGTGGCTGATGAGATGTAACGCGTTGCGAGGGCATCCCCCGTATATGGCTAGCTGGGGGGGTCTACGGAACTGGCTACGAATGTGGGTATTCAGAGATGCGCCGTGGCGCAACAGAACGTTAATTGTCTCCGCGTTGTCTTCCGACGTAGCAGCGTAATGTAGAGGCGTTAGGGCGATGGGCTCCAATGGTAAGGTGGCGGGCGGATAATATATTGAGTCTCCGGGATCGTGTCCGTTGGACAGTAAATTTCGAACAACACCGGACATGCGCGCTGCTGCTGCTATATGGAGTGGGGGGTAAATACCCTTATTAATATCACGATCCCGCTTGTAAATATCGGGTCGATACACAACGTGCTGAGCCAGAAGAGTAGCAGCAGCCTCTTGGCCTAAGGCAATCGCCAGCGTCAAAGGGGCGAGGGCGCACCAATCATATAGAGATTGCCATAGATCAGATTCAGTTAGGCAGATGTCTGCAATCGGTACATCTATGAGACACCCCGCGTTTATAAGTTCCTGCATGATCTCGAGATGTCCGCCGGCTACAGCATGGCATAATGGTGTTAGGTCCACTGGATCTTTTACGTTCAAATACTCGGGGAACAGCCTCAATGCTATTGCGATAGCATCCTTTGCGACCTCTACCGACCCCCGAGACGCGGCCCAGTGCAGAACCGAGAATTGAGAACTGTGGATACTCGCTCTTTCTTCATGTTGCTGAAAGTCCTCGATGCCTTTGAAGCTGGGATTGGTGTATATTCTCCAATCCTGCTTTTTCCTGGTAACATCCTCTTGCGCAATCATCACGTCTAATACATTGCGGCGATAGAGAAGCCCCTTTAGCAGCTTGGCAAGCCGGCGGCACGTCTGGCCGAGCCGGGAAATTTCTTGTAATCCCGGTATAAAGTCTCTAGCGATGAGATAAAGCAAGTCATCTGGGAGCTTTGGAGGAGAGATGGTAGTACGCGAAGAGGACGTACCAGTGCACTTGGTAGGCATGACTAAGGAGAGCAAAAGAGTTAATGAGAATTCGTTTCGCGCGCAGGGTTTAGGATGGCTTATAATTACCTAATATTGTATAATATGCGTCGAGGTATTTGGACTGGCGCTCCCCATGGGTTTGGATTTGGGGTCCTGGCCGTTTGTTGCTTCGATGAATGATAATAAATGAGCAGATATCGGCTAGTAAACGACATTTCGAATCAGGAGGGATAAATAGACATGGCGCAGCAAGATGGAGATATTTATAGCAAATATGTCAAAATTGAGCATGATTACACCTTTTACAAGTCTGAGGTCGTGGATAGACGGCTGTGACTCCATTGTCTGCGTATTCATAAAAGAATCAGGATGTTTCGTCTAGTGACGTGTGTAAGGAGTTCCAAGACAATGCACAAATAAAGGCATTGATGGAGAGAACAACTATAGTAAATACTACGGATATGCACAAGCTGGCGCGATATACTATAGGTACCTGTGTGATACCTACGAAGGAAGAAAGGTAAACCCCAAGAGATTACTTCTACGACGTGACTACTAACCTTAGATACCTTTCACGTCTACGAAGCTCCTCATGATAGGTGAGATCTCGTCAGGTACCTGTCGTATTGGACACCCGGAAGTAATTTACAAGTACCGTTTAGTCTTAGTATCTCTGCGAAGTAATAGAAGAGTTGCGGGCTTCAGATCATGGAGATAATTTTTATATCCGCCAAAATCCGCTCGCTGAGAATTCGTCAGGATATGTACCTAAGATAAATATAATGGAAGATGTGTCATCTTTGCTCAGATTGCCTCTTCTCACACGGTATTTTAACAGCAAACGGTTATCCTGCAATCTATGGCATCAATATCCATGGAACCAGGCACTTCTTCAGAGAGAAAATTGACATGGCTAATTACAGGCTGTTCCTCGGGCTTCGGTCTGGCCCTCGCGCGACTTGCCCAAGCTAATGGCCATAAAGTCATCGCCACATCCCGTAACCCAAGTCGGATGCCGGATCTAGTAGAAGAGATCACGAAGAACGGAGGGGAATGGATCAGGCTGGACCAGGAAGAGAAAGAGTGCGGCCGTGTCATCGAAGAGGTTGAAGCGCGGGGACAAGCGATCGACGTTTTGGCCAACTCCGCAGGCATCGGCATGGCAGGCCCTGTCGAATTCTTTACCGAAGAAGAGGTCCGTCATGTCATGGAAACCAATTTCTTCGGGCCGTATCGTCTGATGCGTGCGGCGGCACCGTACATGCGCAAGAGACGCTCGGGCGTGATAGTGAACTTCAGCAGCGGTTCTGGAGTGGAAGCTAGACAGTCCCTAGGCGTCTACGGCGCTTCCAAGGCGGCTCTGGATGGTAAATGTTCCCTTGCACTGACAAGCTCGTCTCGTGACTGACACGCCCAAGGCATAACGAAAACATTCCATCAAGAAATGCAAGACTTCAACGTCCGCGTCGTATTGCTTCATCTCGGAGCCTTCAATACTCCTATGGTTACTAAAGTAGCGGCAATAAGCAAATCCATTTACCCCGAATACAAAGATACGATAACCGAGAAATTCTACACCGCCTTGAGCACGGGCGATTTCGCTATCCACGGTGACCATGTGAAAGCAACTCAAGCAATATACGATGTAGTTATGGGCAAGGGGATAGGTGAAGGACATGAGAAGGAAATGATCCTGCCCTTAGGAAGGGATTTGGCGGAAAGGATAAGAGAGCATAGGGATCGTATTGACCATATGATGGAGGTGTTTGGAGAGATTTGCAATAACGTCGATGTTGATACCCCAGAAGCCCCCTAACTACCTGCCCATTATCAACGGCTATCATAGAGCGAAAGCTAATTTGTTGGGATCGAAATAGCATCATGGGGTAGGTAATGAATGCACTTATGGTTGATCTAGGTAATCCAAGAATGCGCTCAAATACGCCTGTTCCTAGATCATCGCGCATGATGCTGTGCTTAGGCTGTTCTAGATTTTTGTCCACCAGGCGTGATTCATGGAGAGCATAGTAAACATATATGATTTGAATTAAGTGTCGAAATTCAAATATTTCCCGACAATTTGCATTTATGCCTAATGTTGGAAGCTTACTAACGTATCTTGGGGGTTTTGGGGTACTTGTTATATGTCGACGATGCCGTCTTACTATATCTTATCAAGTCTACTGCATATGTGAGTGGCGAGGTGTAATCAATAAACCATCTGCCGTTCAGCACACCGAGTTCGATGTGACGTTAAGTCCGGCACATTCCATATTGGATGCCCTCCGGGTAATTCAGAAGACGTATGTTTGTCAACAGACATAAGTACTTGAATTGACAGGAACCGCCAGATATTTTTGTAGAAAACATCGTCAATAGCTTCATCTTCATCTTAGTCTACCTACCTTAGGTACCTAAGTAGCCACCTAATTGCTGGGACTAGCTCAACCATGGCTATCCCCTCAACTGAGCAGCTGGCAAACGGCCAGGGAACTAAAAAGCTACACTTCGTAATAGTGAGTGCGATTACCGAACCGGACCCAAACCGCGCGCTGATCACATCTTTTAGGTTGGGGGGTCGCTAGGTGGTCTTGCGACGGGCCTGGCCTTAAAAGCGCTCGGCCACGACACCACGATCCTAGAGCGCAATCCCGCTCCGATGCTTCAGGACCAAGGGGCAGGAATAGTAGCCGGTGGAGACACCCTCGAGCTTTTTAACCGATACAACCGATGCGACCGACCATTTTCGGTTCGCTCGGATAGGAGACAGTATCTCGATAGAGACGGTGTTGTAGTGCACAAGGTCGAGACGGTGCAGTATATGACCTCCTGGGACCTGGCGTACTACCTCATGCGTGCGAACTACGACGGCATCGAAAGCCCGTACTGCAAAGTTCCGGAGCCAGCGCCGGGTCACGGGAAAGCGACGCATCTGCACGACCGGCAGGTGGTAAGCTTCAACAGGGAAGGGGACGGCATCCGGGTATACTGGAAGTCGAGCAAAGGGGAGGAGGGGAGCATATTCGGCGACATTCTCGTCGGCGCCGACGGGCCCAGCTCGACGGTGCGCAAGATCCTCGAGCCGGACGTCGAGAGGAAATACGCCGGCTACTGCGCCCTCCGCGGGACGGTGCTCGAGACCGAGGCCAGCGAGTCCGCGAGGGAAGCCTTCACCCACCGATTCACATTTTTCCACTCCCCCGGCATTCAGATCCTCGCGTACCTGATTCCGGGGAAAGACGGGACGATAGAGCCGGGCCAACGGCTCATCAACTTCGTGTACTACACCAACTTCCCCGAAGACTCGGCCGAGCTGGAGGAGATCATGACGGATAAAGACGGGAGACGTCGGCAGATCACCGTCCCGCCGGGCGCGATGAACCCGGACGCGTGGGAAAAGCAGCGGCAGCTGACGCGCGAGAGGCTCCCGCCGCAATTCGCGGAGATAGTCTGCGGGACGCAGAAGCCGTTCGTGCAAGCGGTGACGGACGTGCTGACGCCGCAGAACGAGTACCTGGACGGGAAAGTGGTGCTCATCGGGGACGCGCTCGCCGGGTTCCGACCGCACACCGTCGCGTCGACGTCGCAGGCCGCTTTCGACGCCATGATCTACGCGGACTACGTCGCCGGCAAGGTATCGAGGGAGGAGTGGAAGAGGGAGACGATAGGTTTTGCGAGGTACATACAGAAGAGGGGCGTGGATATGGGTATTCGAAGCCAGTATCAGGACCTTCCGCTCAACGAGCACATCGACGACCGCAATAGAGCGTCGGTGCCGCGGGAACAGGAAGTTTTTCCTGAGTGGGCGACCGTGATATAGGCTTTCTATTACTCTTACATGGCTACGTTCGCATTTCAAACCTGTAACAGGTAGTACTCATGCTGTCTCTATAGCAGAATCCGAATTTTCTCTTTGTAGTTCATTGATACCTAGTTTTCCAACTATATATCACCTCCATCAACGTACCTACCTAATTTAAACTATTCCTGTGCCTTACGATCATGCCCGATGCGAAAAGGGAATGAGCCCCAGCAACGGATTACCACCTTACAGTAGGCTGTCCGTCCGAACTATCCGCGGGACCAACACGTTCACAAGACTCGTAATCGCCCATTCTAAACTGGCCCCAGGCGTTCCTCTGCGCGGGATCACACTGCTCCCAGACGATTTTGAAGTCCGCCGTCAGGGCAGAACCAACAGGACGACCGAAGACGCCGCTTCCGGTTTTAGGGAAGCCCTCCTTGGTCAGATAGGCCTGGAACTGGAACTGGACCTGCATCTTATCGTTGTACGAGTATTCCTGACCGGTGAAACAGGGCGACCAGGTTAACTTGTCGTTCCGGATGTCGACTTTGAAGTCCTTATCGTACGCTCCCGTTGCGCCGAAATTCACGACCTTCTCCGGGACATCCATCTAGCGGATGTGAAACAACAGCGCATTAGTTATATGTGACGTCAAGATTATATGAGTTGCCTACCTACATAGATAGGTACCAGGTAGGTATCAGGAAGGAAATTGCTCACCAAATACGATCCAGAGGCGTTCTTGACCGTAGGATCGTCAATCGACCCGTTATTCTTCAGATGCTCCCACTGGAAGTACGAATTAGCCGCGAAGCTCTGCACGCGCGCGCCTCCCGCAAGTTTCGCGTGCCCCGTATACGAGACGTCCGAGAAGGCGAAGCGCCACCCTTGAGGAAATGCGCCGAGCTCGATGGACATGATGCATATCGCAGCCTCCGAGTCGTATGGGTCCGCTGGAGTGACGCTAGCCCTCATGTCCGCAAAGTCGAATTTCAGACTATCGGCCTTGAGTGCGAGGCTCATGCTCGTCGCCGAGAAGCAGCCAGCGGAATTGGCTCCGCGGATGCCGAGGATGGTTAGGATGGTCGCGGGCGCGGATTGCGCAAGCGCGAGGATAGCCGTAGCTATAGAGGAGTGAAGCAATGACACCTTCATGGCAGTTTCGCTTTTTCTCTCGGTAGCAGGTACGTCTTATTCCAAGCGGGGGGGATAGGTTCTATAATTTGGTTGGTCAAGGTTATCGCTGAAGTTATTAGCACACGCGGGTGGGATTCGTGCCCATGAAAGATGATGGGATATACTAGCCTTCTAGTAGCTACGACGAACGTGTACTCGCTGATGTCGAGCACGCAATATTCTACGCTTCGGCATATACTGAGCTGCAAACGGATAATTGCGAAAGGCAGGCAAGGGGATAGGAATGGGCTTGCCATATTACCCGGTAGATGGAATATGTTCGACGGTGATTAGTAAATGGGCCGTTTGTCCTACGACTCCATTCTACATAAATTACCTGGCACGTTATCGACTCGAAAAATGCCGGATAATATGGATGATGTCGAGTATACAACTATGGAGACTTAATTCCTGTGACTATTTGCTGAGCAACGTCAGTATTGCATAAGAACACTTACCTATCATATAGCAAGGACTTCCTGTTAGTCGTGTTATATAGTTCCTAACTCATAGAGTATAGAAGCCCGGAATCTCCTCATGCACCAAAAGCTTATCGATTTTTAGTAAAGGGGTCGGCTCGGCGCTCGTACCGATTATATATACCAGGTATATATCCGCCGAACGCCATACGCCGGACAAGGGTACGGACCAGGGTACCGGCGAGCACCCGGTAGTGCGAGACCCTGATCGGCATTGGCTCCCGCTCGTTCCAATTATCTGCAAAGTAACATCGCTCCCGGTCATAGCACGCTGCAATAGCACGAGGCGCTGGCCAGTTCGTCTGGAAGATAACCAGTAATAGCTCACCTGATGGTAATTTGTCCCAATATGGCTTCCAGGCCGTCCGATACGGATTGGAGACGAATGGATTGACAGCTTCTCCGAGGTGGGGTTGCTGGGTTCGGCCGACGAGCTGATTGCTATGCTGTACTGAATGGTCTATAAAACCCGATATATCAATCCCGACCTCTCGCCGGTCCCCTATTTAATGAGGCGACCTTGGCGTTTCCTGTCCTGCATTTACATCTGATACTGGCTTCCATACAGCTTTAGTCGTAATGGTTACCTCGTAGACCCATATGCAGACGTGCCAGCTTCCTACTGTTGAGTCTATTGACCTAAGCGTCTGCGAAAACTGCAGCTGAAATATCAAGATGCGCGCCTATGCCTATCACGGCCATATTCTACTATCCGAACGTTGCCGTATCAACACTTGAACATATCGTCGTGGGCAACTGGGGCGCCTATGCTTCAAATTTCTCCCCAGCTATTACGCCATGCGACAACTGTGTCACGGAGGTGGGCCAGCTAGCCATCAACTCCCGTAGGACGCCACCCGCATAGTGGCTAAGTATTGCGTTCCATGATTTCGCCAACGCCGAAGTTGCTACCGGAACAGGCGGGCTAGATGTCAGTATCGGATTTGAGACAGCTCGTGGCGGGAATTCCGGTATTGCGTTCAACGATAGTTTTTTTTTTTTTTTTGGGGGGGGGGGGGGGGGGGGGGGTAAAAAAAATTGTGTATAACATGATGATTTATTAATTAATAAATTTTTTTTAATGGGTTGACAAAAAAAAGGGATTTTAGGACAAATAGATTAA